GAAAGAGACCTGACAGTGGGGGTATGTTATCGCCCTCCAGGTCAACTTGAAACCCTGGATGATGTCCTGACAGACCAGATTCTAAGGATATCTCAGGGGAGAGACACAGTAATTATGGGAGATTTCAATCTCCCGGATATTACTTGGGAGACTCACTTGGCAGTGACAGCCAGGTTACATCGCTTCCTAGAAGCTGTAGAGGGAGAGTTTTTCACACAGAGGGTCCGAGAGGCGACGAGGGGGGGAAACATCCTTGACTTGGTCTTGACCAATAGGAAGGAGCTTATAGATGAAGTACAGATTAGGGGAGCTCTGGATGCGAGCGATCACTCCATCCTTTGCTTTGAGATCAGGGGACTGCGGATGGGCAGCAGGTCGAGCACTAGAAGCTGGAACTTCAAGAGGGCCAACTTTGGCCAACTGAAGGCCAGACTGGGGAAAGTCTCCTGGGATAGGTTATTGGAAGGTAAGCTAGTTGAGGAGGGGTGCATAGCACTCAAAAGGGAGGTTCTGGAGGCGCAAACCTTGACGATACCTCTAGTCAGTAAGGTGGGGAGGCGGAGAAGAGTGCCGCCATGGATGCAAAAGGAGGTGGTTAAAGGGATTAGATGAAAGAGGAACGTCCGTAGGAAATGGGTACTGAGGGAAATAGATAAAAGGGTATACCGGGAGGAGGAGGCCCGTTGCAGAAGGTTTCTTCGCAAGGCTAAGGCTGATTACGAGCTGAGACTTGCCTAGAATATCAAGAGCAACAAAAAGGGCTACTTTCAGCATGTAAATAGGAAGAGGAAGGGGAGACAAGTGGTGGGACCTCTAAATAAGGAGGAAGGAGATCCAGTGACGGATATGAGGGAACAGGCACAGATTCTAAATGACTATTTTGCCTCTGTGTTCTCCTCAAAGCAGGATGGGGGATATCCACATAGGAGATTAGATGAGGCTGGGGACTTAGGGGCACAGATTAGAGTCACCCCCCCTTGAAGTCGAGGGGCTCCTCAGGGCATTGGACATTACAAAGGCACCCTGATGCTAGATAGGGAAATGATAGTGATGCTAGATAGGGAAGGGAGGCTGACAGCCACACAACACGGCTTCCGCAAAAACAGGTCCTGCCAGACAAACCTTGTGGAATTCTATGACAAGGTTTCGAGATGGCTATATGGAGGGGATGCAGTAGATGTGGTATACCTGGATTTCAGCAAGGCCTTTGACAAAGTGCCCCATGATATCCTGGTGGAGAAACTGAGGAGTTTTGGGATACACCAAAGCACTGTCCAGTGGATTAGGGCATGGTTGACTGACCGAAAGCAGAAGGAAACCATTAGCGGGGAATCATCGGGATGGCGGCCAGTAACAAGTGGGGTCCCCCAGGGCTCTGTCCTGGGGCCGATCCTGTTTAATCTTTTCATTAACGACATGAAAGAAGGGGTGAACAGTCTGCTGATCAAATTCGCAGACGACACTAAAACTGGAGCAGTGGCCACAACTGAGGAGCAGGTACTCCAGATCCTAAAGGATCTGGACAGACTATGGAAGTGGGCAGGAGACAACAGGATGGCGTTCAATGTGGATAAGTGCAAGGTCTTGCACTTGGGGCATAGGAATAGGTGTCATAAGTACAGGTTAGGTGACAAGTGGCTGGAGAGCAGCACTTGTGAAAGGGACCTTGGGGTACTGGATGACTGCAGGCAAAACATGAGTCAGCAGTGTGATGCGGTGATCAAGAGGGCGAACGCCACCCTTGGTTGCATAGCCAGAAGTGTGGCTTCTAGATCAAGAGAGGTATTACTACCACTCTACATGACTCTGGTGCGCCCGCAATTGGAGTATTGTGTTCAGGTTTGGGCCCCTCATTACAGAAAGGATATAGCCAGGTTGGAGTCAGTGCAGCGTAGGGCCACAAGATTGGTGGCCGGTTTGCAGGGAATGCTGTATGAGGTGAGACTGAGGGAACTGGGTCTTTTCAGCCTGGAGAAGAGGAGACTCAGAGGGGATATGTTGGTGACATACAGGTATGTGAGGGGATGTCACATGGAGATTGGTAGAGACCTGTTCTCCCCTGCAGAGGAAGGCAGGACATGCTCCAACGGAGCAAAGCTCAGGGAGCCAAGGTTCCATTTGGATGCCAGGAAGCACTTCCTGACAGTCAGGACCCCGAGGGTGTGGAATGGGCTTCCACGAGAGGTCGTTGAGGCCCCATCGATAGGCTGGACGTTCACATGATGGGCATTTCGTGAGCGGAGCCGGCTGGTGCCGGAGGTCAGACTGGATGGCCCGGGAGGCCCCTTCTGACTCGCTCTGTTTCTATGTTTCTATATAGCTGTTGTGTGAACAGCCTGGAACATCTCTGTGGGACCAATTCCCTTCAATTCCTTCTTCAAAACTCTCTTATTCCCAAAAGAAATTGGGAAATTCCATTCTCCCCTATTTCCTTTTCTAATTAAGATAGAGAGACAGAGAGAGAGAGAGAGAGAGAGAGAGAGAGAGAGAGAGAGAGAGAGAGATAATTCAAAGTCACATATTTTATCTCTGCCTCCATTCATCCCTTCCGTTATAGTTTCTCTATATCTTTTTTAAATTTATAAGTCCCTTGTGGTAGGAAAGCATTGAATCTACTTTGTACAGTTCCAGTGAAAGGCTTTTCTATACAGGAAAAGGCTATCTGACAGAAGAGGCTCATAATCTGTTTTCTGCTACTCAAGACTGTAAGACATAAAAATAATGAGCTTACATTACAGGAAGATGGATTTCAGTTGACTATAAGGGAAAATACAGGGAATTGGGCTCAGTGACCTAAATTGGCCCTTTCCCACTCTGTGATTCTATAATAATATAATTTCATTGTATTCACTGATTATAAGTCTTTACTCATCTGTTTAGTGAGTGAGTGGGAAGGTTTTTTTAATTGTTTTTTTCTCTTTCCTTAGGGATGCTGAAAGCGAAGCAGATGATGAGTCATCTGATGTGTATAAATTGGCAAAAGAAGTTCTGCTTCAAGGACTGATTGATGAGAATTCTGGACTACAGTGAGTAATGTGTATTTTGGTTTTTGCAATAAAATAGCAAAGCTCTAATGAGCATTTCAGTACAGAAATCAGATTTTTTTTTACTAGCTATGTTAGAATGTCCACTGATCAGTGGCATATCACTGATCAAACAGAATAAGAAAGGAATCTACCAAGAAATCAAATTTCTAATTTCATGTTTTGCTTTCATAAAGTTAAGCAGTAAAGATGTTGAACTTGCATGGGCTGGTGATGGGGTTGGTGGTGGTGGTAAGAGGTGATTTAGCTGGGGGACTTTTAATATGCCATTCTTGTAAGTGTGCCATTCTGGTATTCAAAAATGGATTCCTTTAGTTTGGCACTTTGTTTTATGGACTGTTTTTCAGAAAATCTTTTGCATGTGTGTTTTCTTTTACAGATTAATTGTTAGGAATTTTTGGAGTGATGAAACTAGATTACCAACAAATACTCTTGATCGTATGCTGACTTTATTAAGTTCTTTATACTCCATTGAAATTGAAACTCAGTATTTGAGTTTAGCTACAAACTTTCTGCTTGAAATGACTAGCAAGAGTCCAGATTATTCCAGAAAAATATTTGAGTATCCCCTTTCAGAGTGCAAATTTCAGGTAAAATTATATATTATTATATATACCATATATATACTGTACATCATGGAATTGATTTCAGCATCTATAATTTCTGAGGCCAGAGCCAGATCACTGAAGAGCTATTTAATTGTATTATAATTTCAATTAATTAATTCCAAGTTTTATCAGATGTGAACTGACATGTAAAATTTAATGTTATATTGGAAAATGCGAGACATTTACAGAATGAAATAGTATTAACTGTTTAGTAATTAGCCATGCATACTAAATAGCTGTATTTTTCTGTTTTCCATTAATGAGAGGCAATGTCTCATACCGAGGTATATGAATCATTTGGCTAATATTTAATGTGTATTTCAGTCCTATAGTAATTCCACTTAATTCACTGGGATTTTCTCCTAGCTGAATGTGCCTAAGACAGCATGTTTGCTTGAATTGCTAGTATAACCACGACTGTAACGAGCAAAAGTCTTTTCAGCTCCTTCTGATTTTTTTCTTTAGGATTTTATGATTGACTCAAATTGGCAGTACCGAAGTACCATCCTTACTCCTATGTTTGCAGAGACCCAGGCTTCCCAGAATGTCAGCAAATATCACTCACAGGAATCCATGGGTGGCCAAGTAAGGGCTACACAACAATATGAATTTACTCTCACCCAAAATACCAGTAAGTGCATACATCAGCCTTCCTCAATGCATTCCAGATGTTTTGTACTGCAGCTTCCATCATCCCCAGCAAACATGGCCAGTGTTGGGAGTTGTGATCCAAAGTGTCCAGAGGGCACCAGGTTAGGGAAGGCTGCTAAATTTCATATATGGAAACACTAGTACATTGATGGGACTGCAGGTGGCGCAGTGGTTTAAACCGCTGTGCTGCTGGGCTGGTAGGTCGAAAGGTCACTGGTTCGAATCTGCACAACGGGGTGAGTTCCCGTTGCTCCGTCCCAGCTCCTGCCAACCTTGCAGTTCGAAAGCATGCAAATGCAAATAGATTAAAAGGTACCACTTTGGTGGGCAGGTAACAGCGTTCCGTGCACTTCGGTGTTTAGTCATGCTGGCCACATGACTACGGAGACTGTCTGCGGACAAATGCTGGCTCCCTCGGCTAGGAAATGGAGATGAGCAGCGCCCCCTAGAGTCAGGCATGACTGGACTTAACGTCAAGGGGAAGCCTTTACCTTTACCTTTAGTACATTGATTAGTCTTCAAAAGGTGTGATAAGACTCTTCATTTGGGTTTGATGTGGCCAATTCTTTCAGAATTGTTTAAAAAAAGTGTGTGAATTTTATGTTAGCATGTACAATTATACACAATTTCATGCTTTCATATAATTTTGGACTTGTGCTCTAGAAAAAGAGAATGTTAAATCTTGACCTCCATTCAGTGTTCTTTCTTTATTTAGATACTTTTGTTGTAACTGGTCTAAACAAAGGAAAAGTACTTGGAGCATTTGGAGTGGACAGCTCATTTTGTATGTATGTTGCCTTGTGTCAGATAAAATTTCTGCTTCTTTCAGGTGGAAGAAGCTTTTTTAACTGGCTAATAGGAAACAGTATGGACACCTTTGCAGAGTACACAGTTTCTTCATCCTCTGAATCTCTGTCTTCATTCATGTTATTCATCAACAAGCGGACTGACAGATCACACAGAGCTGCTGTCAAACCCTTGGGTCCTAATTTTGGGAAGAAGAGGCTGGGCTTGCCAGGAGATGAGGTAGACAACAAAACTAAAGGTAATACTGCTAATACATTGCCTTATCACTACCACCATCACCTGTTTTTGTTACAAGAGGGATTTTTTAATGATCTAAGCCAAGGCTTTACAGTCCTTTTGGAACAGAATGTACATATTTGAAACTCTGAAAGATCTGTAGGGTATCCGTATGGCCCTCACACCACATGTTTGTAAGGCCTTATGGGATGGACAAATTCATTTTTGCCATAGAAGACTTCATGTCAGTAAAAACCACCATAAAATCACAGACACATCTATGGACATAGATGACGTATCATTTGATGGTGGTTCACTGGGGCAGGAGGGTATCTATTATGAAAAAAAAATGATAATATAAAGGATTTCTTCAGATTTATGCCTTACACTAGTGACAGATTTGTGTTTTTCATTGTATATTATATAGACACCAATGAAAGCTACAGCAGTAGCAATTGTGTAATACATAGACATCAGTGAAAGCTTCAATTTGATGGAGAATTTTGTGAGGAATTCTGTATAAAAATCAAGTAAATTTAAGAGGATGTTTTGATTATAGGTTTAATTTGGGGGTTATGTTTACCTAGACCCAAATGGAAAAGGAGATTGTGTGTGTGTGTGACGGGGTGCTATATGTGTGTTTTTTGCTCTTGTCCATCTCTCAAACAAATGTGAGGGGTTGTACTCTGCCTCGTTCATATTATTCTCTACTTAATCTTAAAAACACACATAGTCAGTTCTCAAAACAGATTTCTTTGGTGGAAGGTTTTTGAATAATTTAGAAAGTTGTTTAAATACTGTTATGAGGTTGCAGTTAAGCTATTCCATTCCAAACTTTTAGTTTCTAAAGATTTTCATAGAAAAGTACTTAAAAGGAAGGGTTATGAATTTGTCAAACTGTCACATAGATCTTAAGTGATGCTACGGATGTTGATGATGATTACATTGCATTTATAATCCTGCCTTCCTTCCTCTTGCGAGGAACCCAAGATGGCATACCTATTCCCCTTTCACTCCATTTTATCCTCACAGCAACAATTCTTTGGGGTAAGTTAGGCTGAGAGGTGGTAACTAGCCCAAAGTCATCCAGCGAGCTTGATGGCCAAGTGGGTTTAGCATCCTAGGGTTTAGATAACCTAGCTCCCTAGTCCACCAACCACTAAACACAATGGCAGTTCTAGTCCCACTCTTAATTTAGCAATGTTTTATATGCAAACTGAGTTCAGTTTTTATTAAATACATTTTAATGAATATTCAAATTCTCCTTTTATATGTATTAGGTATAGATGAACGGGCAGATATTCTGCGACTAAGGAGACGCTTCTTAAAGGACCAGGATAAGCTTAATTTGATTTATGCAAGAAAGGGTGTTGCTGAACAGAAACAAGAAAAGGTTTGTTTTCTCTTTTATTTATCTTCAAATTGAGGCTTGAAAATGTGCTTTTAGAATAGTTCTACCTCATAAGAATACCTCTACATGCTTGCTAATTTAGAAGAGTGTCACGTTAGCTACCCCATCTGGAAATTCATTGTTCTTGCTTGCATGGAGAGCCTCCACAGGTAGAGGAAGCTCTCCACTTCAGACAGTTGCACCTCATAAATTGAAAATGACACAGGCGGAGGAGTGCTATGGCACTGCGCAGCCAGTATCTTGCTCATAGTGGGGCATTGGGCAGGTGGCAGCAGCTGCTCCACCCTTTGCTCTGAGGGCTCCTTCGTGAGAGGCATTGGCAGGGAAGACACTGATGGTCCCTGCAAAGTGCTGATAAGGCATTGGTGGAGGATTTTACTGGTGGCATCAAGGGTGAGATTGTAAAGAACAGCAGGGCTTTACTAGCTTCTTGCCAAAGTCCACAATGAAATTGCTCTCCCAGGTTCAAATGACAAAACAACCCATCATGGATCTAACAAATCCTAGAATGAGTTTTAGTTTGTCAGAGTGGTCTGGTTTTAGGTAACACAGCAACTCATCATGCTAGTTCACCCATGATAAGCTGTCATGTCCTTCAAACCCCAGTCATGTTGAGTTACTGGATTGTTCTATTAATGACAAAAGTATCCTATAAACTGCCACTTGCTACAGGAAATGAAAACTCAGCTGAAGATGAAGCATGATGCTGAGGTCACTCTCTACAGAAAATACAGACAAGGCGATCTCCCCGACATCCAGATTGAATATAGTAGTCTAATTATTCCTCTACAAGGTGTAGCACAGGTATGCTATCTATCAGGATTTAGACTTAGTTAAGATGCTTGGAAAGAGCTGTTCTTGTACAGGAGTTCCATTCAGTTTCTTCAAAACTGAGGTGTGGTACAGTATTTGTTTTGTTTAGATTAGTGCATGCGTGCGCGTACACACACATGCACTAGCTTAGTAGTCAACCTTCAGAATTTGCTTCCAGATTTTGTATCATTTCAGCTAAGAGACACCATCTCAAAGTTTTTTAAATCTTTGTGACAATGTAATATAAGGTCTGTTATATACAATGTTCACTGTTCCCACAATGACTGTTGAGTAAAAAGGATGACATAATGTCTAGATCATCTATGGATTTTAGTAAGAGGTGCTTTCCCTAGATCCTATAGGATCAGTAACCATGACCATATATTCTGGTCTCCTGATTACTGAGAATGAAGTAACAACACCTATACAGTATATTATTGAATGGAATAAAGTATGGAACATTATTCCTCTGCAAAGCAACTACCCCCATCTCTTCATCTCTCTCAAAATGATAGCTTCAGGCTCTCGCCCAATTCCATTACTGCCTGCTTCAAGAGATTAGGACTCTGTGAACCATTTTTGTCACTTTACCAACTTCCTTCAGGATGTGTTGACTTAACAGTTGAATGAGAGTTAGTGATACCTATGTGCTCTCTGCCCCACAGAAGAGAGCACCAGAACTGACTTCATGGCTTCTGGACTAGCTCTGCTAGGCCTTTCCCTCTTACCTGCATTATTGAGAAGATCTTAAGGGAGACTTAACTTTGATGATGCTATAATAAAGATAGGGTAACAGGTGTTCTGAAGATGTAAGGATGAGTCAGCTAAAGCTCTGACCATTTGTGAAAACAGAATTAATTTTAAAATATTTGTATGAAAGGATTTTTCGACCTTATTGGTCTACTTTTGTCCACTTACGCCCTGTCCAGGAAGCATGAAGCTTCCTTAGAAAGGTATTTTACAGTTTGTGGGCCATTTTGGAGTCCCATTTGTACCTCAAGGAGATTGCTGTATATTTGCTGTTTCTCATGACATTCATGTTGGAAGTAAGTCCATTGGGATTGTAAGCACAGGATTTCACTGATAGGGTGGCAAAAGAAAACGTAAGGCCAAGTTAAAGAAATAATCATATGCTTTACATATATTATAGCACCATCTTGTAGACCTGCATTTAACAAGATTGAAATAAAAAAATATATAAAAATATAAATTTTATAAGGCAGAATGTTTGTTTCAGCATTTATGAACTTGAAAACAAAACAAGAATTTAACAAAAATCCTTATTATGACACCATAACATTTGATACCTCATTGTAGAACCTTCAAAAACATGTTTACATTTGGGTCACACTGTCTGTAATGACAATGAAGAAATGGCAAATATTTTCTGCACTGTGGACATACTGGCGCAGTAGTGTTGTATGTATTTGTACCAAGGATTAATTGGTTGCATTGTTAATTATAGAGAGATCCTACACTGGCTAAACAACTCTTCAGCAGTCTGTTTAATGGAATTTTGGAAGAAATGAAAAAAATGAAGTCTCATGCTGAACAAATCAATATCATCCAGCAATTGGTGCAGAACTTCAACTGCTTTCTGACCACAAGTGTTATATATTTCCCACCATTCATAGCCTGTATCCAGGTAGTACTTTGTGTGTTGTATTGTCGCTCATAGATTAATACAGCTTGTTTTGCCTGCCTATATAAGTATTATTTCATAATCTTAGTGTGGATTCTTAAAGTAGAAGTGGTTGTGTTTCACAGCTATGCTTTTGGAACAGGAGATAATCAGGAAGTTTACTTTTGTTCAGAGGATCAGGTCATGACCTGCTCTGCATACTAAAAGTCATCTTAAACAAAACAAAACAAGCTCTGAAGCCTTGCTTCAGATTTTTCGGCTATCCCACTGATGTATTTGGTGGCTGCATCCTTTGCCTACTATTCAGGGATGTTAATTAGATGTATATATGTTACGAAAGAATTGTTTAAAAAGGAACAGAGGGTTAAATAACTATCACTTTAGGCCAACACCAAGAGTTTCCTAACACATTGTCCTGTCAACAGTAATATCTCTGGGAACTTCAGTTGGTTTAAGGCGCTTTCAGTGCCATTACATCAGTCAGTTACCTTTTGTAAACTTCTGCTCTGTGCATGAGAAGAACAAGATATTCATAGTTACCTAACACTAGGCAAAATTTTCCACTATACCTGCAATATCTCCTTGTAGATCATAAATAATGCAGTTGGAGAGACAGGTATATAGAATTTTTGAAATAGTTGTTACCCATAAGACCTAATGGGAGAAGAAAATACAGCCAGCTCTTTCAGGTAGTGTTTTGGGTTTTTTTACCAAGTGCTATACCTTGCACAGAAACATTCATGTGTATGTATGCGTAAATGAATCAAGTACTTATTCATTTGCTACATTTTATTATTAATACTGTGACATCCTTAATGTAGAAATATTTGTCTGTCTGAAAGTTGGACTGTTTGTGATGGTGGTTGAAATAAATAATTTGCAGAGTATAGGAGTTAGAAGTTTTATTTAATGTTGAAGTGGCCTACATCACAGTAGCTTTTTATATTTAATGAACATTATGAGATTATAAATATTTGTGAGTTTATGAAACCATAATTTTACACTAAATTTCACATATGTCTACTGCCAAAGCTGGCAACCATACATTTAATTTCCATCTCTCTCTCTTTCTCTAATATTTAAAACAGGTTGCTTTTTTCCAATGCTCGTTTGGATTGTTCATTTCCCTGCCCTTCTACCATCAGTAGTCAATAATATGTACTAGGGAAAAGTATAGAATGCAAGTAGGTTATCCTAGCTATAATAATTACAGAGTTGGGCTGGGGTGGGCTGAGGGAACTAGTGGGATTAAACCTCAGTTGGGTATGTTTTCCCCAGCAGCTAATTATGGGCTTGGTGTAATAGGAAATGTGCTACCAACACAAAGAGCTTCTGGACATCAACTCTTCTAGTGTAACCAGCAGTTGCTTAGCAAGCTTCCAGCAACCAGTGGGTATCCTGCTGCTTGAACAGGCTTTAGTTCACGTTTCCTCTGAAGAAAAGGAGCCACCCTCCAAACGGAAGCGTGGGAAGACAGAACTTTCACCTGATATAACCAGATGGATTGAACTGGCTAAGTAAGTTTTTTTGTTTTGTTTTTTATTTTTTTTATTTTTGAGAGAGAAATATTATTTGTGTATTGTTTTACCCAAAGCTGAAGAAGATTTTAGAAGTTTGTATAATTTAATAAAGAATGAAATACAAGATTATACTTGTCAAACTGATTATGATCAACTGTAATAAGGTTCATGGAAGGTGTCATTGCTTGCATTTTTAGTGACCTGTTTTGGGTTTCTTCACTAGAATTACCCTTCTAAAAGTTGTGTAATTAATTGGATAAAGAACAATGCAAATAATGTTTGTATGGAGCTATTAATGGAGCACTTTTTGACCTGGTCCATGTAACCCAGCATTGATCATTGTGAGTTATTTAACCTAAAATGAGCCTTAGCACCCAGAGATGACACTTTGCTTTATTCAGCATCTCCTTGGGATTGAGCTGTTTTGCAGACCCAGCAAGCATGGGCTATGTGAGAGTGTAAAATAACAGTTAATGGACTATGGGCTGGTGCTAAGAAGAAGCCCAGGCTCAGATCTTCTACACACTGTTAGAACGTACCTTCTGTTAAACACCATGCAGACTAGCGTATATACATGTATTGGGATAAATATGAGAACAAAAACCTTCTTCAGGCATGTACTGTGTATGCATCGGACTAAGGCACTGTGTTCCAACAAAATGAGAATATAGCTACTTCAAGTGGAGATGGAGCTACTTCAAGAACAGTTGTTCGGAATAAATATTGCAAGCTTTATTTTATAACAGATAAGAAAAATGCTTAGTTAATATACCAGCTTCCTGCTGTACATGGCCTGTTATAATATTTCTGGTAGTTATAATATTTTTAGTAGTTGTAACAGAGAAATTGAGACAGAAATTGATAACAAACATTCACCATATAAGGAACAAGAGGTTCTTCGTGGTCTTAGTGCATCAAAGTGCATCGGTCCACAGTATATGGAGACTGTTCTCAGGAAGCTTCTATAGCTAAGCATTCAGTAGGGGAGGAGTCTTGCCCCTTCTTGTCCCAGGTTGCTCAGGTGGGGCTCCCACCCATTCCCTTACTTACCAATCTAGACAAGATGGCAGTCGGAAAGGAAGTGTTTTTCTTGCTCTCATTCAAGTAATTCATCATTCTTTGACTTTTCTCTCACCATTTTTCTCTAAATGATCTACCCTTCTTCCTCTTGCCTTCCTCCGTGTGAATCTGTTTCTTTTCACTCTTTACCTAAAAAAAAAAAATACAATTTTTTTGCAAACTTATATAATGTGTATTGATACTGTTGCAGTGGCACAAAGCACCACTCCTAACCCTGATCAAAAGTCCGAGTACTGAGCTAATGCTGACTCCCTTGGCCCTTGACCTCTAGACTCCTGGATCCGAGAATGCCAACCCCCTCATTGGGACTGCAGAACAATGTGTCTCACTCTGAATGAATCTGGTTCTTTTCAATGCAACTTTGTTTAACTGAGGAACATTTACATCAGTTTGATGATTGGAAATCAGAGTAATGTGTGCTTGATATTTTCCACTTTCTAGGCTTTATCGATCTATTGGAGATTATGATGTTCTGCAGGGGATTTTCAGTGGAAAGATTGGTTCTAAGGAAATTACTCAGAAGGCCTTACTAGCTGAGGCAAAAAGGGATTACGCTGAAGCTGCCAAAAAATATGAAGAGGTACAGTTATATGTATGATGTACCTTGCTTTCAGATGTGTGATTATTCAGTCTGAATATTGACAATTAAAAATGCTAAATTATTTATCTCTTTGGACCAACATTGCCATTGACCAAAAGTGAGCAGGTAAACCCTGTTCATCTTTTCCCACAAAGCTTCACACTTCCTGAACCTGAAAAAGTCACAGCACATTCCTCTAGATCAGTGGTGGCGAACCTATGGCACACGTGCCACGGCAGGAACACAAAGCTGTCTATTGGCATGCGAGCCAAGAAACCCCAGAATTGCCCCAGCAGCCCAGGAATGGGCAGAAATGTTGGGCAGTGCAGAAAAAGCTACTCTCAAAGGCTTTTTCAAAATCTCCCTCTTTTAATGGAATTTTATCCATATATTAGGGTTAGGGGTGTGCACCAGGGTAGGGTTAGGGTTAGAAAAAGGAGATGTCCTGGCATGATTTTGAGAGCTGGAATGTGTTTAGAATAGGCAGTAATGTTGAGCAGTGCAGAATAAGCTACTAAGAAGGCTTTTTTAAGATCGCCCTCTTTTCAATGGATCTTTACCCATATATTAGGGTTACGGGTGAACACCAGGGTAGGGTTAGGGTTAGAAAAAGGTGGTGTCCTAGCATGATTTTGATGGTTGTAACGTGTTTACAATGGGCAGAAATGTTGAGCTGTGCTGAAAAAGCTACTCAGGAAGGCTTTTTCAAAATTGCCATCTTTCCAGTAGAACACTATTCATATATTAGGGTTAGAGGTGTGCACAAGGGTAGGTTTTGCATTAGAAAAAGGAGGTTACCTGGAATTACATTGATCGCTGGAATGTGTTTAGAATGGGCAGAAATGTTGAGCAGTGCAGAAAAAGCTATTCAGGAAGGCTTTTTTAAAATTGCCCCCTGTTCAATGGATCTTTACCCATATATCAGGGTTAGGATTAGAAAAATGTTGTGTCCTGGCATTATTTTGATCTCTGGAATTTGTTTGAAATGGGCTGAACTGTTGAGCTGTACAGAAAATGCTACTGAAAGACACCTATTTGAAAATTGCCCTCTATACAATGGATATTTACCCATATATTAGGGTTACAGGTGTGCACCAGGGTAGCGTTTGGGTTAGAAAAAGGAGGTATCCTGGTATGATTTTGATGGTTGTATCGTGTTTATAATGGGCAGAAATTTTGAACAGTGCAGAAAAAGCTACTCCCAAAGGCTTTTTCAAAATCTCCCTCTTTTAATGGAATTTTACCCATATATTAGGGTTAGGGGTGTACACCAGGGTAGGATTAGTGTTCGAAAAAGGTGGTGTCCTAGCAAGATTTTGATGGTTGGAATGTGTTTTGCATAGGCAGAAATGTTGAGCAGTGCAGAAAAAGCTGCTCAGTAAGGCTTTTTCAAAATTGCCTTCTTTCCAATGGAACATTACCCATATATTAGGGTTAGAGGTGTGCGCAAGGGTAGGGTTTTCGTTAGAAAAAGGAGGTGTCCTGGTTTGATTTTGATGGTGGTAAGGTGTTTAGAATGGGCAGAAATGTTGAACTGTGCAGAAAAAGCTGCTCAGGAAGGCTTTTTCAAAATTGCCCCATTTAATGGATCTTTACGCATTTATTAGGGTTGGGGGTGTGCACCAGCATAGGTGTAGGGTTTGGAAAACGAGGTGTGCTGGCATGATTTTGATGGTTGGAATGATTTCAGATTGGGCAGTAATGAGCTGTGCAGAAAAAGCTACTCAGGAAGGCTGTTTCAAAATAGCCTTTTTTTCCAGTGGAACATTTCCCATATATTAGAGTTAGAGGTGTGCACAAGGGTAGGGTTTGTGTTAGAAAAAGGCGGTATCCTGGCATGATTTTGATGGTTGGAATGTGTTTAGAATTGGCAGAAATGTTGTGCTGTACAGAGAATGCTAGTGAAGGACGGCTTGTTCAAAATCGCCCTGTTTATTTTATTTTCCCCTTATATTAGGGTTGAAGGAGTGCACAAGGGTAGGGTTAGGCTAATGGTGGTGAACCTATGGCGCATGTTTTATAGCCTGCAAGCAGAGCCCTCTCTATCGGCAGCTGAGCCCTGTCATCCCAGTATCGCCCCAGCAGCGATGCATCAGATACCAGCACACATATTGGCCGTGTGCATGGTTGGAATGTAGTAGCGGTGCCAGGCAATGATGTCATGAGCCGCCACTCATTTGTTGTGACGCATCCGAGCTGTCGCATGGCCAGTCAGGGCTCTGGCAAGAATTTATGTATATTTGCTTGGACTGGTTGTGAGGTGTTTTTTCTAAACTAATACCTCAGTTTTTAGGTTTTATTGTAGTTTTGGCACTTTGTGAAATATAAGTGAGTTTTGGCTTGCAGTTTGGGCACTTGGTCTCTAAAAGGTTCACTATCACTGCTTTAGATCAACAGCAACCACATTTGAAAGGCTTTTACTAATCCTACCTTATTCCTTCATCAAACAGTGTAAGATAGACAACTCCATTTATACAGATGGCTGCTTTGCTAGCGTGTAGTTAGATTCAGTATTCATAGATGTCTTATTTTAAATGACAGTTTGTATATCCCAATGTAGTGATTCCTTCTTCACAGCACCCTAGAAAACACTGGTACATACTATGAAGGTTCCTTTTGGATTGATGCGTGAAAGATTTCTTGGCTGCACCATTTTTGCATGACTATGTTCCATCTGTTACTCAAATCAACTGCCTTTGTGTTCCTTGACTTAGGCCTCTTCTTAAGGATCTGATGAACTCCCTCCCTCCCTCCCTATGTGGTTTCTCTCCTTATGGCTAACTCCTGGGATTGACAGCTCTACTTCTGAGCTACAGCCATGGATAGAATTTGTATCAAGCCAGAGAGATTCCACAAAACTTTGTCACATGGTCACTATTTTTCCCAGATAATAGGGGGAGCAAAGCCATTGTAGGGATACCTTCTGCACACCAACCCAGGAGGAACCATCTCAGTAGTTACCAATGTTTCATTCTCTTAAATTTATAGGAGGTGATGGAGCAGCTGCTTTGCATGCAGACATCCCAGGTTCACCCTCTGGCGTCTCTAGGTAGAGTCTGGAAGGACCTGTATAAATCCTGAGGAGCCACTGTTGGTCATTGTACTAAACCTGATTAACGGCTGTCTGTTCCTAGCTGGTGGGATTTTTTCCCCTGAAGATTCAATGCTAGTGTAAAAAAGTAAAAAAAATGGAATTAGCTATGTATTTTGTCAGTGTGGTCAGATAAATGCTAGATAAGATGTCTGTGTTTGCTCCTGTAGGCACTCTCCACACAAGACTGGCCTGATGAAGAACCAACCGAAGCAGAAAAGGATTTCTGGGAGCTTGCATCTCTTGAATGCTACAACCATCTGACAGAATGGAAGTCTCTGGAATACTGTTCTACTGTTAACATCGATAATGGACAGCCCCCAGACCTAAATAAAACATGGAGTGATCCATTTTATCAGGTTTTCAAAAACACACTATTTGCCTCTACAGCTTTATTGAATTTGATCATTAGAGCAGGGTGCTAGGCATGAGTACTAAACTCTAATTATTATTTGAGGATGAAACTGCCACATCACACAAGAGATGTGTGATTTATTTGGAGGTACCTGTGTTTCTCGTCGTGGCCTCTGTGCATCCCACATTACAGGTGCTGTGCTTGTGCAGTGCCTGCAGCCAGGAAGGATTCAACGTTTTAATGGTTTTGGCGGGAACTCCACACCCCTCCCCCACAGTAGTAATAAAGAGTGGAGTGCCCGCCATTTCCTCAGTCTTCTTACAACCGCCATTCGTTGCTCTCTTGTATTTTGCTATACTTACTGTTCCTGCTTAAACTTTCTCGTTGTTCTTTCCCTTTTGTTAAGAAAACTCATTTCCAAGTTATAAATACCTTTTCCCCTTCCCAGTTTAGGAAGTTTCTTCCCCCTTTCCCTCCTCCCCCTAAAAAAAAAAAAACCAAAACAAATAATAATAATAAACCCTTCTATTGTTATTCTCTACTTCTTCTTGCTCTGCTATCCCCTTTTTTCTCTCCTCAATGGCTCAGTGAGTGGCGTTTTGGAAGTGTTCCAAGTGTGGGGCCAAAATGTCCCCCATGGTCCCCCATGGACCCACATGATCTGTGCCTTCTCTACTTGGGGGAAGGGCACAGGTTTGACAAATATGGCCACAGTCAATCCTTTACCAAGCAAGCCCAGAAAAACTGCGTGAATCATCTCCAGAAAATTCTCTGGGACCAGGCCCTACTCTTGTCTGACCAGCTTGCAGCTCAGACCGCTCCAGCAGGCCCATCCATGGCGTCTCCTTCTCATCCATCAGCCGATGGTACGACCTCTATGGAGACTACTTGCTCCTCTTGTTCTCCTTTTCAAAAACAAAAGGAAAAGAGGAAGCACACCAGGTCTGATGAGCCCTTGGCTGAAAAGAAGCCCAAAAAGGCTAAGACCGACAAGCCTGACTGCAAGCAAAAGAAGCTTGCCAAAGAACCATGGAGAGACTCGGGCTTGACCACAGTATCGGTCCCTACTGCTGTCTTGGTCCTGATTCCGTCCGGCCCAACCATCCAGGCCATGATGCAAGTGACCCCACCAGGGTCCCCTCAGAGGATCTCCAGCTCAGCTCCATCCACTCTGGACCAATCTGAGGCCGTGGTTCATGAATCCATGTCAGATGGTGAGATTCAGGACTCACCACCCCCCCGCCAATCTCAAGCTGGTCAACCATCGGCACGTTCTCCGACACCAATACTGTCCTTGCCTGAGGCTTCTCCAAGGGATCAGCCTCAGTCAGACACGCGCTGCCATCAGCGTGCTTCAGACCAGCTCTCTAGGAGTTGGGTTCCAATGCCCTGTGGTGGATTTGACTCATCCCAGTCTTACCCTTGCGATTACCTTCCACCATATGGGTACTACCCAATGCCCTCTGTGTGTCATCATTGTCCTCGCCTGACGCTGAGAGACGTCCCCTCAACATTGGCGGCTGCTCTCTCCAGACCTCCTTTGTCTCCGGCTGGTTCATCCTCCAGTCCCCTGTATCAATACGATTCTGATTCGGAGGACTCGGAGCAGGCTTCTACCTCGCCTGATGCCATCATCTCAACCCAGGGTCTGGGTTCTCCGGAGGAATCCTATTCAATCTTCGGAGAACTGATGGCACATCTGGCTAGATCCCTGGAGATCGAAGTCCAGCCCCGAGTCGATTCCAGCGCAGACAATTTCGTCCGCAAGGAACAGTCTTAAGCCATCTCCCTGCCACTCATTACAACCACTGATATCAACCATACCATCAGTATGCCTCCCGTCCACTGTTCCGGCCTCACCAGCAGCAGAACTGCAAGCAACCAGCACCCCGCTATCAGCAGGCTTGTTACCGCCCTGACAAGCAACAGCGTTGACGGGATGCACAAACCTCTCTTCTCTCCCTCTAGCCACCCTCCCCTCTCCCTTTTGGGGACCAACTGCAAGGCTGACTCCCCATTTGGGAGTCCATCACATCTGATAAGTGGGTGCTTTCCATCATGGAGCATGGATATAAAATCAAGTTTGACACCGTGCCCCTATCAGAACTGATCCGTTACATGTCTCCTTCGGTCCTTCAAGTTTCCTAACTACTTCGTAAAGGAGTGATTCAACAGCTCACTCCTAGGGCCTTCACAGCTTCTACTTGAGATATTTCACAGTCCCAAAACAGGATGGTGGTCTACACCCGATATTGGACTTACGTGGTGTCAATAAGTTCATCGAGACTAAAAAATTTCGGGTGGCCACCCTCCAAAATATCCTTCAATTGCTCAGGAGAGAGGATTGGTTTGCATCACTGGACTTGAAGGATGCGTGCTTCCACATCAGTATTCACCCTGCTCATAGGCGGCTCCTCCAATTCACTGTTGGTGCCGACATTTTTGAGTGCGATGTTCTCCCTTTTGACTTTGCTGCTGCTCCACGGGTCTTCACTAAATGTATGACTCCCATCTGTGCCCATTTGAGGCTACAAGGTGTCCATATCTACCCTTACCTTGATGATTGGCTGATCGTCTCTTCCTCCCTTCCTTCCTCCTTTCAGCCATCGATACTACCTGTAACCTTTTAGATATTAACATGAAGAAATCCTGCCTCGTTTCTTCGTAGGTCATTGACTTCATTGGAGCCCACCTTGACTTGCTTCAAGCCAGAGCCTTCCTTCTGCAGGCTCGAAAGGACAAGTTGTACTCCTCCATTCATTGGATTTCCATGAGTCGGATTGTTCCCGTGCTTTCCGTACAGAAACTACTAGGCCACATGGCCTCCACGGTCTCTGTGGTACCCAATGCCAGGTTGCAGATGAGACCTTTACAGCTGTGGTTCAACTGCGGTCAAATCCACAGTGTGATCCTCATCATCTACTCCAACCGTCCACTTCCGTTCTTCAGACATTGTCTTGGTGGACGATTGAGGACAACCTTTCCATCGGGGTACCATTTCAACAGCCACAGCCAATGTTGACACTCCACACCGATGCCTCCCTTGTGGGCCAATCTATGCCAATCTTTGCACTCAGGGTGCTTGGCAGGGGCATGAGACCTCCAGGCATTTGAATTACCTGGAACTTCTGGCAGTCTTCAAAACCTTCCAGTCCTTCGAGTCTTCCCTTCAGGACCAAGTAGTCCAGATAGCCTCGGACAATGTAGTTACGGTGTTCTACATCAACAAGCAAGGTGATACGAAGTCTGCTTCGCTGGCCCACCTTACCCTCCGTCTATGGGACTGGTGTATCCCCAGAGGGATCACCCCTCTAGCTGTCCACCTTGCTGGGACAGGCAATGAAGAGGCAGGTGCTCTCAGCAGACAACTCACGAGTGGGAGTTGGATCGTCAGGTCTGCTGGCATCTCTTCCAACTATGGGGCCCACCAGACATAGATCTATTTGCCACCCACAACAATTCAGTTCGCATGACTTAATGTTCTCGGGCAGGCATTGGTCCGAATTTGATGGGAGACGTGCTGATGGTTCCTTGGACGATCATGTTCTTTTACACGTTTCCTCCAATACCTCTCATCACAAAGACTCTAGCCATAATCAGTCAAGACGATGCCCGAGGGATTCTCATCACACCTTTGTGGCCTTGTCAACCATGGTTTCCCACCATTCTCCACCTTTCTAGAAGCACTTTCTCCTGTCTTCTGTGGATTCCACACCTCCTTACCCAGAAAAACAGCACCATTCAACATCCAGATCTTCACTCCCTGAATCATATGGCTTGGCTCAACCAGTAACCAATGCTTAACTGACAACTTTGTTGAATTTGACACTGCCTCTGCAGGCCTCCGTCATGGTGGCATCATTGGTACTGACCTCAGTTCCTGACTCTTCATCAAACTTGAATGCCTTCCATCCTGACATACAGTTTATTCTTCAGTCTGCTCTCAGACCAGCTACTCACCATTCATATGAAGCTAAATGGAAACGCTTCGCCTCCTTCGCATCAGCTAATCATTTTACACTGCACTCAGCCTCAACTGAAAACATTTTACATTTTCTTCTGTCTCTGCACCAAGATGGACTTAAACCTCCTTCTGTTAAAGTTTACATTGCCGCTATTTCTCATCATCGCGGCTCCATGTCGGGCTCCCCCATCTTTTCACACTTCCTCGTTTGTCACTTCTTGAAAGGGCTATAGAATCTGCAACCACCAGTCTGCTCAGTGGTACCACTGTGGAGCTTTTTGGTGTTTCTCCAAGTGCTCACTAAGCCTTCTTTTGAACCGCTAACTACTACTGACTTGTGTCTCTTATCCTGGAAAACGGCCTTCCTTATAGCCGTTACCTCAGCCAGGAGGGCTAGTGAACTCTGTGTTCTATGAATCGACCCTCTTTACCTCAATTTTCACAAGGAGAAAGTGGTTCTTCATGCTGACCCAGCTTTCCTTCCTAAAGGTGTCTCACCTTTTCACATTAATCAAGATATTGTCTTGCCTGCTTTCTTTCCTATGCCTTTGACACCGATAGAATGCTCCTTACAATCACTTGATGTCCAGCGCTGTTTGGCATTCTGTTGATCCCGTACAGAATGTTTCAGGAAGACTAAATGCCTCTTTATTAAGTATTCTGAGCATGAAAAGGGCTCTCCGGTTACATCTCAGAGACTTTCTAAGTGGATTGTTCAAACTATTGAACTTGCTTACCACCTGTCCAAATTGGACTTGCCAGTAATGCCAAAAGGGCATTTCACAAGGGCTTCTTCTGCCTTTTCTGCTGGCATTCTGTTGCCTGACACCTGCAAGGTGGCTACCTGGACATGTTCACCAAACACTACTGGCTAGATGTTCGTGCCAGACAGGACTGCTCTTTTGGCTGCGCAGTTCTTTCTTCAGTTCTTCAGTGATAACATCGTCCCGCCTCCGGGTGTGGTAAGCTTACTAATCACCCATAATATGTGATGCACAGAGGCCACGACGAAGAAAGGCAGGTTGCTTACCTGTAACTGTTGTTCTTCGAGTGGACGTCTGTGCATTCACACAACCCACCCGCCGGCCCCACTCGGTGTCGGTGACTGGGTTATTGGAATTGCTTTCTGTTGTCCCTTGATGTTGATACCTCTATATGGTATAGGCTTACTCACAAATACTGTATGCTCCCTACTTCAGCATCCCTATGATCTGTTGTCACTATAGATTTGTTTATTCATTGATTCCATCAGGGGGTGAACAGACAGTCTTCAGTAGACTGGGGAAATAGCGGGCACTCTGCTCTTTATACTACAGCAGGAGAGGGGCACAGAGTTCCCGCCAAAACCATTAAAGCAAGCGCAGTACCTGTAATGTGTGAATGCACAGACGGCCACTCGAAGAACAACAGTTACAGGTAAGCAACCTGCCTTTTTTTCCCTAGAGGACCAACAACAGCTGATGGGATGTGTGGATTTAGATCATGCAAATAACGTATAGGTTGGGCAGGGGATAGTGAAACACCACCTCCTTCTCTGCTGCTGTTCTAGAGAAATTGACCCGCTGCTGTTCAATGTTTTAAAAAAAAGTTGAGCTCTCTGTCATGGCTGTCTTGTAGGTTACCACTCCACCTAGCAGTAGCAAGCACTTTACATGGCTAAGCATACTCTCAATGTATGAGTAGTCTTCTGTAAGAAAATTTGGCTGTAATATGATTACTAATACATTAGTCATACTTTAAGCATATACTTCTTAGTAACATGGACAACATATTTTCATTTTCCCCACTTTAGGAAGCCTATCTACCACACATAATTCGCAGCAAGCTGAAACTTCTCCTTCATGGTGAAAATGACCAGTTGTTATTGGCATTTATTGATGAGGCTATGAAGACAGAACAGAAAAAATCTCTTATAGAAATGTACTACAGTCAAGAGTTGAGTCTTCTATACATTTTGCAGGATGATTTTGACAGAGCCAGATATTACATCAACAATGCTATGCACGTGTTCATGCAGGTAATGGTCTGATGTGACTCTTTAAAATCAGTAAGATAGGATAGTCGAAGATGATAATTGTTCAGTGTTAGTGCATTATCAGTCTTGGGGGATCATGTCACTCAAAGGCCATACATATCTATGTTCATCTCCTTGAAAACTGAAAGGAGATAGAGTCTGATTCTCTTATTGTATGAGGCAAAGCCATGAAGGAAAATCTGTTGATTGTTGGTTAAAATTTCAAAAGAAAATGTTTTTCTCACAGAACTATTCCAGTATTGATTCGCTGTTGCACCAGAGTAGACTTACCAAGCTGCAGTCAGTTCAGGCTTTAACAGAAATACAGGACTTTGTCAACTTTATAAACAGACCAAGTAAGTATGTTTTTCCCCTTGATGCAGTGTTCTGACGTATATTTAATAGGCATATTGTTGCATGATATTTGAGAGTGCAGAAAAATAAGAATCCAGGTCAGTGTATTTTCCCAGATGAGTGCCTTTTATTTTATACACACAAAAATGCTTGTAGACATGACAGCTAAAATATTCCTGCATTCCACTTTTTCATGGTGGTGCTTACTGCTTGGCCTTTGTTGGTTTTTATGCATGATGCAGAGATCTGCATGGCAAGGTTGGAATGCAATAATGCTCTCTAATATCGCATCAGACAATGTTTTGACATCCAAGAAACTGACAGAAACCGCTTCCAGTAAGCAGTGGAGCTGATGTTTATATAACAAGTTTATGTGTGCAGTTTGAAATCAGTTGCTAGCCATGCTAAGTTCTTTAGGATTTAAAGATGTGATTTTTGTCCTGCAATGTCTAGCTGAAGATCTAATTTTTTAATGTTTGTGTGTTGTGTCTCCTCTTCCTCCTACAAACCTTCTGCTCCAAATGGTTCTTAGGTAATATAGCTTCTCAGGCTTCCTTGAAGAGACTTCTCTATAACTGGACAAGCAGATATCCAGATAAAAAAATGGATCCTATGACCATATGGGATGATATCATTACAAATCGGTAATACAAGCTCAAATCGCTTAACTGTGATTGTATATACTTGTTGCACACCCACAAATATTGCATGTTCCAGTTGAATCATTGCTTTTAATAGCAAGCTGAAATGGTGGATTGCCTATCAATTCAGGAGTAAAGTGGGTCTATTGATTACTAAGATGACAGTTTCTGCATATTCAAGGTATTCCCTAGATATGTAGAAGTATATAAATTTGTAAATTAAAAATCAATTTCCTGTACTTAAAAGTTGAACTTACAGGAGATAGAACAGCTCCTCTCATTATTTTGTTATGAAATTTCCAGATTTAACTTAAATGGCAAACAACAGAGTTCATGTCTTCAGAGGACATCTTGTTTGCACTTGTGCATGTCATGATGGTAGTGGAATATTCTGCTGACCAATTGCAACTACGCTGAAATCCCGGCTTTCTCCATTGGCAGTTCTGGCTTCCACCCAAAGGTTGACAAGAAAAAAGAATTTAAAGGAACCAAAATTGGACTGACACTAGGTCTGTTCCAAGTAACCTTGCACCGCTCAGTGAATGCATGCAAAATGGAATGTAACTCCTGATTTCTTCTCATTTAGCAGAGGACTGAAGGTGCAGCCCACATACAAGTGTGTTTACTCCCTGTTCAGTCTTCTGCCAAACACTCAGACGTCAAGGGATGGAACCATTAGATATGTAAAGGTCAGGGTCAAACCCAACAGGTGTAATCCCATTTTATCTCCATTTGTTCATAAGTGGATAGAGGTAGATCTTGACTATCTTGCCTGTCTGCCAATTAAGTCTTGCCTACCAGATTCCTCCTCTGGGCCAACTGGCATCCAGAACAGGAGCACTCTTCATAGGACAAGGCTGAGCAACTTGTCACCTTCTAGAGATCTATCTATCTCAAAGCATTAATGGCTATTGTAGTTCAACAACATCTGGAGGCCTACACTTTTCAGAAGGAACAGGGAAACACTGCAGCGTTTTGTTGCAGCTCCCAATTGTAAACAGTTCAGCTGCTAATATCTGGAGCAAAAGTTACATGACAGAACCAACAGTTTATAATAATGATAGATATAATAAGCATACGTAACTACCAGAGCAATCAAAGATTTTAATTGCTTCTTCAGGTGTTGTTAGGAATTAAACAAAAGCTGTTTGTCACACAAATATAATCATTAGCTACACTTATGTTAGAATAGGCAGTTAGGAAAAATGTGGCTAAATTATTAAATCTACACTGAAGAGCTTGGATTAACAGCTAATACTGTTACAACACAATAGCATCAGGAATGTCTCCTGAAGTTTCACTTTTATTTCTTTCAACCTTGTGTTTTTCTGATCATTGTAGGTGTTTCTTTCTTGACAAAATTCAAGAGAAACTTTGTAACATCCACCTGGAAGACAGCATGGAAGTGGATGGAGGGGGAGATGCTAGTTCCGAAATGGATGTGGACAAGGAAAAAGAAGATACAAACGCATTGATTAGAAACTGTAAATTTACTATGAAAATGAAGATGATAGAGAGTGCCAGACAACAGGTGCCTGTGACTAATTTAACAGTCCTGAATCCATCACGAAAAACATAGAACATGCATTTCTATGTGTAGAATAATGCAGGGCTTTAAATTCCTTAAAATTTTAATCTTATTATTATTGTCTTCAAATGTCCTTTAAAATACAAGAGGGATACATTTAAAGGCCAAAGCAGCTAATGTATTGTACCTATGTTGCACACTACCTTCATTCATTTTTCAGATTGTTTGGGATTGTTCAAACTGTTGTTTGAATTATATGGATGGATCTGCCCTAGAGCAATTTGCTTGTTACAGCTTATCACATGGTATACACTAGAATAATGCAAGTTAATCTGTAGAGATGGGTAGGATAGGTTTAGCTAATACAAGAAAATTTGGTTACTGTGGTACAAGTGATTCCTGGATCTCCTTGTTGTTTTAATGCAGAAGAGCTTCTCAGTAGCAATGAAACTCCTGAAGGACCTGCACAGAGATTCTAAGACTCGAGAAGACTGGCTTATGAGGTGGAACCACAGCTATTGTCGATTTAGTCACAGTCGTAGCTGGGGCCAGAGTAGTCCTGAACAAATACTTACAGTACTCAAAACAGTCTCCCTGCTAGGTAAGTGTTTCATGTTGGTTATACCAATGTATGATGTAGTATGAACATTATAAGAGCCATGCTAGAGCAGGCCAAAGTCACATCTAGGGAAGCTTTTTGTTCCAGCAGTCACCAATCAGCCTGTGGGAAGACCACAAGCAGGACACAAGTGCAGTGGCCTCCCTCCTCTGTATATCAACTGATATACAAAGGCATACAGTACCTGATGCTGGACGTAGTGCTTCACCATGATGCCTCATTGGTACTGATAGCATTTAGCATTATCCTGAATGGATTTGTCCAGTCTCTTGAAGTCCTGAGCCTTATACAAGCAAAGTGGGTCAGTCTGTTTTTCGTCTCTAGCAGCTTGACCTTTTTGTTGATGGCTGCGTGTGGACTATGCTCCTGGTATTGGGAAGAAGCTAGCATAGCCAGCTAGAGGAGAGAATCTCTACTGGGCCCCATTGACAACACAACCTATCTGTGTCCAACTCTGGGAAGGCCTTTATTTGCTGGGCCAGAGGCTTGATGGTGAATTCCAGAGCCAATGTCTCCAAAGGGGCTTGCTCCTTTTCTTGAAGTTGTCCAACTTCATGAGTTATGCATAGATGAAATTAATGGGCTAGAGATTCAGCCTAGGGTTAGGGTTATGGATATTTCAGGCCCTATGCTTGTTGAAGGACCCTGGAACATGCTCACATCTGGAAGAAAAAGTGAGCTAGCAAAATAATTGGTTTGTGCTGCTTTTCCCAAAGATTTCCAACATCATGGGGTATACCTAGAGGAATCGATGGGGATGAGATTCAGCATATGGTTAGGATTATGAACACTTCAAGCCCTATGCTTGCTTAAGGACCTGGAATGGGCTCAGATGTGACAGAAAAAGTGACCTAGCAAAGAAAAGAAAAGAAAAGAAAAGAAAAGAAAAGAAAAGAAAAGAAAAGAAAAGAAAAGAAAAGAAGAGGAGGTTCTGTTGCTTTTTCTGAAGCTGTCCAACACCATGGGGTACACCTAGAGGAATTCAGTGGGGTTGAGAGTCAGTGTAAGTTCAGGGTAATGAAAACTTCATGCCCTGTGCTTGTCAAAGGGCCTGAAACGTGCTCAGATGAAGCAGAAAAAGTGAGCTAGCAAAGAAAGTTGGGTTTCTGCTGCTCTTCCTGAAGCTGTCCAGCACTGTAGAAGATACATAGGAGAAATCATATGCACACATAGGGGCTCGCAGATGCATCTGAGAGTAAGGAAATGGGGCAAGCTGAGAATCCTGGTTCAGTATCAGGGCTGGGGAGGAGGCTTGTCATGGTGTTAGAAAACCCTACCTCTTTCTTCAGCTCCCTGTCATCTGTCTGTGAGTCTGGAATGGTTGCATCTCATACTAGGCCAGAAAACAGACTGGGTATTCTGCTGGTGTACTGCCCACTGCGCAATCCAGCAATTTCCCAGTCTGATGGTGTCATCATATAGGGTTAGTGCGATCCTGTTGATATTCCTGAATCTCTTAGTGGTTTTTGATACCTTCCACCATGATACTCTTCCATGGTGATTGTCTGGGAGAGAGGGGTAGTGCTTTGCAGAGATTCTGTTCCTTCTTGGACAGTCAGGTTCAGAAGGTAGTACTTGGAGACTATCGGTCAGCATCATGGATTCTCCAGCATGCAGCTGTTCAGGAGTCAGTTTTGTTGCCTATGCTATTTAACCTCTACGGAAAACCACTGATTAGTGGATTTTCAGAGTGTTTTGCCATCATTACGCTGATGACATGCATCTTGTAACACATTGTGAAATCCCATTTCTGCAGTTCACAGAAAGTTTAGTTTATTGCGCTTTGTTATGTACATAGAATTTTATAAGAATATTCATTTTCCAACTTTTGACCCAACAGATGAGACCAAATTTGGGAACTTGAGTATCAATGTGTCAACTTTCTGCAACCAAAACCTTCTTCTGGGTACCACTTTCCACATTATGGCTAGTGCCCTTCACAAGGATCCAAGATCTCTCGAACAAATTGAGGAAGAAAAGGCTAGACAAGTCTTAGTGCTTTCAGGAGAAAAACCTGATAATATTGATAAGGTAATTTTTTCCTGCAATGTGAATTGCTGATTAGGTACACAGAGGTACCACTGGATTTTCATCCAAATCCAAAATGTTCTATATGTAAGTAAAAGGCTGCAGGAACTGCAGTGGAACTTAATGCTTTCCTAGATACAGGAGAACAAAAAGTAACCAATGTTCTTATCAGTGTGCATAGGGTTTTATTGTTTGAAAAGGGTATACTCCCTGCATGATTGGGAGGTAAATGACTTCCACTGTTCCTGCTACTTTCCACCTATGAATCCTGTTTCCTTTCTTCCCTTCTGCACCCTATTTCTGATGCCAAGCCTTAGTGTCTGTACGAAACGCATGCTTGGGCTCAGTCATTGCCTCTCAGTGGAACATACTTCATGGGTTGCTTGCAAGAGGAACAAAGGTAGTATATAAATGCAATGCAATAATAATCACCATGAAAACAGAACTTCTCAGTGTAGGAAAGTTACAGGAAAAACTGCAAGGACTATAAATGACTTTCAGCAAATATATCATCTCACTGAATCTTCCAATGTAGGACTAGGGAAACCGTTGGGCACCTGGGTGTGCATTGCTTGTGACAAAGGACAAATGACCTGTTCGGGAGTATTCAACATTCAAATGGCAACAGCTAGGAGTTCCCATTCTCCCAAAGTAAAACAAATCTCTAAAATCTATTTACATCTTTGAGATAGACAAAAATATCTCAGATGTATTTGATAGTAATATGGATGGATAGATAAAAACTTTACTTTGGTCAAAGACCGTATGGGAATAAGGTATTGGGATAACAGTGTCTGAGTTACTGAAATAAACCTGTATCAATAATAGTTAGGAAGAATTAGTTAAGATTGTTACTCCAGTGGAATATTATGCCAGTATGTCTGGCAAAATTAGTGAGTATAGGCATTGCAAAATGTTGGAGAAAGTATAATCAGCACTTTGTATGTGGAAATAATGTTTTGTTGAGTTACTATTTTGGAACACACTATTCTCAGAAATGGAAAAAAATTACACATTGATCTGTGTATGTTAAATCAACATTGGCTATGTTAACAATACAGGAAGAATAAAATGCAAAGTGGCTTCTAAGAAATTGTGTCTGTGTTCATGGTAGGCCACCAGGTAATACCTAGAATCTGGAAAACTGCAGAACATCTAAAATTGATATTTTGGTACAGGGAGCAGTGGCAAATAGCATGGTAGAAAAATTGATGTACCAACTGAAAGTAGCTAAAGACAATGTCAAAATTACTGATTCTTATAAAATTTGGTATGATCCAAATCAGAGTTGTACACAGCAAAGTTTGTAAAAGTCTTCCCTTAGATTTTGGAAAAGGGACTAAATGTTATTTTATGAACTATAAAGAAAACCTCCAAGTAGTCAATTATGTTCTTTTTCTGTAAAACTAAGGAGAAAACTATGTGAAATACGCTTCCCTCTGTCAATAACTCGATTTAAATTTTAAGGGATTTTAAAGTCTTTTTATATAAATCATTAGTTGTTTTGTGAAGTTCATATATAAATCTTGGTGTCATTATTTTTGAAAATGTTATTTTTTCAAAATGAGTTTTTACCATGTATTTTGTGGTATAAATCTATAAAGTTTGGTCATTTTCTGCCTGGTTTGTTCCAATTTCAGGTTATAGCAGGTCTAAATAAGAGAGCTTTCCAGTGCTTCAGCAGGTCTGCAAAGAAAGCTGAAGAGGTACAGTCCATGTCAACTGACCACATAGATACAAAAGGTATCATAGATGCATATATAACGTTAGCTAATTTCTGTGACACTCATCTCCGTAAAGAAGAAGAAAGCTCAGCAGGTGAGTTAAACAATGACTACTTATGCATCTGTGAGGAACATAGATCAAAGATAATTTAAAATAAATTCTCTTAGCTATTTTTCTGTGACATAGCTAGTCACTATCAGTTGGTTTCTACCATGTCTGTTTTGCATTGTGATGGTTTTACATGACTGCTACTGTGTATGGCATTGGTTTGAATTTTAGTTTTCTTGTTCTGACATAGTAAATACCTTGGTCATTTCACACGCTCAAACAATGACAACTCAAGATAGTTACAACACAGTAGACTGCATTTAAAGAAACTGTTTTAAGCAGTAATGACTGCATACAATATATGTACGTATATGGATTTTGGATACGCCTCAGTCATCATACATACTGAGAGCCAGTGTGGTGAAGTGGTTAAGAACATGGGACTGGGACTCAGACGACCTGGGTTCTAGCCCCTGCTCAGCCATGGAGCCAACTGGGTGGCTTTGGGCCAGTCACAGACTCTCAGCCCAACCTACCTCACAGGGTTGTTGTTATGGGGATAAGATGGAGGAGGAGAATGATGTAAGCTGCCTTGAGCCCTTTGTAGGAAAAAGGCAGGATATAAATCAGAAAAAAAATACTTTTAAAATTTCAGCCATCAGTAAGGTGGGAAAAGAGTTATAGCATCTGCATGTGGCAACATGCTTGAGGCAGTAGAACTATGTGGCGGTTAAGAAAGTACCCAACAAAAGCAAAAAAAGTTTTGTGTAAGTTCTGATAAGACACTGTATTGCCATAAATAACAGTAATTGTATTGAGAGTATAAGCATGGTTTCTGTTGTTCTTTTTGTATTTTGTCAGATATAAATGCTCTGGATTTTCAGGGATTCCCAGCCATTGTAGTTGATAAAGTAATACAAGCTTTGAAACTCAATTCAGAAGAAGCTAGATTAAAATTTCCCAGGCTATTGCAAATTGTGGAAAGGTATCCTGGAGAGACTTTGGGCCTTATGGCAAAAGAGGTGAGTGTTCCCTTCTCTGTGGGCAAACAAAGAAAAAGGATGAGTTTTGAAATGACATAGAATTATTAGGGTGGTTAAAAAGGAGTTGCAAAAAACTCCAGAAGTACCTTTCTAACTCAGTGAACGACAATACAATGCAAGTGCTATTTAATACAGCTAAATGTAAACTATTTCATATCAGGACAGAAAACCCTAACCATGTATGTTCAGGTGAGGTCTGAACTGGCAGTGACCCGCTAAGCAAGAGATCTTGGTTTCATGGTAGATAGCTCAGTCAGGTCAAGGGCAGCCGTGAAAATTCATGTTGTGAGGAACGGCATCATAAAATTGCTGATAACATTGCAAAGATATGGTACAGCAGTACTTGGAATTCTTGTGTAGTACAAGTTTTAACATTACAGAATCATATTGCACAGTTGGCAAAGGCAACCCACAGTATGAAGGGGTTGGAGCAAATGCTTTATAAGGAACTGTTAGAGTGTTTGAGAAAAAGGGTGGCGGGGGAAACCATGATCGACATTTAAACAATTTTGAGGGAGAGGTATAAGCCTTTCTCCCCATCTCAAGTACTAGAACTTGGAGTTATCCAGTAAAACTGACAGGGCAAACAAAAAGGTAATAAACTCAGTGTGTAATAATTTGTGGAATTTTCAGCTACAATATGTGGCAGTGGTTTCTAACTTAGAGGAAGTAAAACAGTTACAGTGGCTGTATACATTCTCCAGTTTCAAGGACAATGTATCATTGAATACCAGCATCAACAGGAAGTCTGTTGCCCTCATATTCTGCATGTGGACTTCATAAAGGAGACTGGTTGGCCACTGGAGGGAGCAGTTGCCTGACAACTGGTGTGTGATCCTGCAAGGCTCTTACTGTTTTCAGGGTTCTGCAACTTACCTGGAAGGACTATTCACTGCCTGTTTCTCACTGTGTTGAATCTCATGATGTTCGTGCTTGACTAATAAAGCTTTATATTGCCTTTCATCTCTTTTCAACGTTTGAAGAAATGAACCCTTTGGTTTGGTTTGGTTTGGTTTGGTTTGGTTTGGTTTTAAAGAATGCTTGTTCCAGGTATTGTGTATTGGCCACACAACTGTCTGCTCTTAACAGTTGTGCTTAGAAGTCAATCCATACACAGTTCCAGATGGAAAAATGTTGCTATCTTCTGACCGGTTCAGCAGTAGAGGTATGTATTGTTTGCTCTTGGTTACATTCATAGGTGTTTTATGTTTTACAGATGTCCTCAGTTCCTTGCTGGCAGTTCATTGGCTGGATCAGCCAGCTGATGGCAGTGCTTGATAAGGAGGAAGCCATGGCTGTGCAGCACACAGTGGAAGAAATTGCGGATAATTATCCACAGGCAATAGTTTATCCCTTCATGATCAGCAGTGAAAGCTTTTCTTTCCAGGAAACTATCACAGGGAATAGGAACAAGGAGTTTGTGGCAAGGTGGTATAAAAATGGCTAAAAATTTTCTGGAAGCAACTGATTTTTATGGCCAGTTCAAACAAGTGATATTTTCTAATAAGAATGAATATATTGTATGGAAACCTCCACCTCCACCCTCAAAAAAATACAGTACTTCAGGGGGAAATTCTGTAGTGATGCATATCTTCTCTGTTGCTCATTCTTTCACATACCTATGGGCTCTATAAGTGCATGGGCTCTAAATATAAGCCTGCTGGAAGAGGGTTGGTAGAAGCTGGCTTGTATTCCCTTTGATTTTCCTGCCAGCTCCTACAGCCACTTGAAAATGTGCTACAAGGATCAGGGCCCTTACTGGGTGGGGTGAGTTATGTTCAGAGTTCAGGGGCTGGGAAAGTTCATTAACAAATTAGGCAGTGACACTTTTGAGTGAAGTGTCTTTTCATCCTTCTGTACCATAGTCCACCCAACTCAGTGGGGGTCCCTGAACACTATAGGAAACTGGAGAAGAAAGGAGAGGAGGGCAAGTCAGCTCCTCTCTGTCTCCTTCCACAGGCAGCTACCTTTGCTCCGTGCCTGTGGTATTCAGACTAGTATTTAAAAACAGGTGGTTCTGATCCTATATAGCCCTTATGACTAGTAGCCATTGGAAGCCATATCTTCCATGAATTTGTCTAATCCCCTTTTTAAAGCATTGAAGTTGGTGGCCATAGTTTAATCATGAGCTATGTGAAAAAATACTATCTTCCATCTGTAACAAATCTTCCAGCATTCTGCATCATTGAATGAACCAGGATTATACTATAATGAAAATATTTCTCTTTTTCTATGTTATGTGTACTAGCTCTATAATACCATTACATTCAGCAAAACATTATTTTTAAGTAAATATATGCAAGATTGATGCTGAAATTTTATGCATAAGTCTCACTGGTTTTCTTGGAGTATCATGGGTGTTAGCCTATCTAGTTCAGTGTTGCCTACACCAGGGTTAGGCAATCCTTTGGGCCTATGAGTACCTCTGAGAAAATATCATGAGAATAATCATAAAATGATTCCTAGGAATGGGCATGGCTAGTCACAAAAGAGATGCCCTGCCCAGAAACATTCATGGAGACATCAAAATGGCAGCAGCGAGAGGCTCCCAGGTCACTTTGAAGCAATTTGTCCATAAGAAAGTGGACAGATTTGGTACATAACCATATTTGAAAAATAAAATTGAGAAGAGCAGTGGGGTGTCCTGTTGGGCACCAAGGAAGAACATCAGTTACTGTGCAGTACAGAAATGTGATAAATTCATGGGAAAAAGAATGAAGGTACTTGGAGGCATCTCATTGTCAGTGTCCAGAATCCTTCCTGTGGACTGAACATAGGCCCTTTCGAATGGAAAGGATGTGCTTTGCCATTGAGGCAATTTGCCCATCCACAGAGCAAGCATCTGAAACTGAATAGTACATCATAGGAAACAATGTCTATAGAATTGGTTTGAATTCCTTGTTAAATGAATTAACAAGGCTTTAAACTGGTTATTGATACAACAAAATAAACTTGCTTCATGTGACATGACAGCCACTGTGGCTTAATTTACCTGTTGGACATACGCTGTGCCAGCTGTCCATGGGTACCAATTTTGCAGGGAACTGTCTTGCAATGGCTTGTCATACTGTGGGGATGCAGATGTCAGGGATTTATTTATATTTATATCCTGCCTTTTTTTAAATTTTGCTTTCAAAGAATTTAAGGGAACTTACATAAGTTTCCTCTTCTTAATCTTATGCTCACAGCAACTCTGAGTGGTCGGTTGGGCTGGGGTCTGTTTGGGCACAAAGTCGCCCAGTTAGTTCCATGGCTGAGTGGGAACTAGAACCCAAATTTCCTGGGTCCCAGTCTTCACTGTTAATCACTACATCACACTGGCTCACTGGTTGGTTGAGATGAGCCTCAAAGGTCTCTCAACCCCTGCCTTCCTGCCTGATTTTGCACCACACAACAAGCCATGGCAAGCCATGCACCTTTGAGTGCCATGCAGAAATGGTGCCTGTGGGCACTCGACATAGTGCAACACCTCCACCTTAAATTAAGCCATAGTGGTGGCTGTGCCTTGAGAACCTTGTCATTGTGCCTTAAGTTTCCTCTTGCAGTTTTTGAATACTGTTTAGGAAAACTTCTTTTGTGCCTAATGATAGCTTTAAGCTATATAATTTGTAAACAAAGAATGTTTTGTGATAGTTTTTTGTTTTTCTTGTGATTCCTTCTTTCACAGGATTAAAAACAAGTTAGAAAGAGGAGGAGTGGTCCAAGATTTTGTGCATGCCTTGGAGCAGCTTTCCAATCCTGTAATGCTCTTCAGGGTACAGTAGCCAATTCCTTCATACTATGAGATTTAAAAAGTTATTTAGTGTTTATGTAGTGGTTTTTGAGTAGTTAGTGTACGTTTTTTGCTTAATTTTCATTTCTAGCCATTATCTTTAAATGTTTGCCTTCTCTTTGCATGGAAAAAAGAGAATCCTTTTTTTCCCCTGAACTTACAGGATTGGACTGAAGATATTAAAATTGAGCTGGGAAAAAATAAGAGAAATAAAAATGACATCCAGCAGTTGTACAATGGAATGTACCAGAAGTTAGGAGATTTACAGACTCCAGGTCTTGGGTTGTTTAGAAAACTATTTATTCAGGTATGTATTGTTATACCAGTCAAATGTTAGTTATGTATAAAAGCAGAGTTAAGATATGAGGGAAATTCTGAATTGAATGGTTATATTTATAATAATCCTGACTTACTTGTAACTGTGCAGGCCTCAAAAATGGTTCTTAGCTTTAGTTCTCTTCTGTGGTCTCAGTACGTACCATATGGTCTCTACACCCAGCAGAGCATTGATGTGGGAAACTTATATAACTGCAGAACTTAGACAGGGATGCTTCATCCACCTGTCATTAGCGGGTTCCCACCCATTCCCCAAGTTTCTTTTCAACCACCATTGTTGCTATCTCTCACTGAACATCTGTTGTTTCTTAGAGATGGCAGGTTTTAATTTAATTGTTTTTCTTATTTGTTCCTGCTGTCCTTTTTCTTCTATCATTATTTTTATTTTTGTTTAAGAAAACACACAATAGAACTGTATTTATTGGTTGCAATCACCCAATCACCATCAGGCATATGCCCTTTAAGGTGTGCAGTGTAGAACCAACCTTCAGATGTCCACTCATTCTGCCTGATCTGCCTTGGACCAGGCATGTTGTTACTGGTTATGCCCAGTATAAGGCCTTCACTAAACAGACTCAGAGGAATAGGCTAGATCGGCACCAGTAGTGTGCACTGGAAGCAACAGAGGCTCTGAAGAAGGTGATAGCTCAGCCAAGGCCTTCATCACCCTCTTTTTGACATCTCAGGGTAGACCTTCAAAGGGCTGTGACCCCAACACTGGGGAGCTGGCTCACATTCGTGCTTGACATGAACATCTCAAAGTGAGGACCCCAAAGCCAAACTTCAGAAGGATACCATGAAGAAGGGAGGAGCATCTCAGTCCTCTGACCCTGTGGATAAGCCCCTACCACCAAGACTTCCTCCACTGCTGATAATGACATTGTCAATTCCAGTGTTGGTTCTGGCACAGGAGCCAATCCTGATAATCTGAACCTCTGAAGGAAAAGTACAAGACCTAGGTTCAGCCAGACCTTGAGGAGGTGTATGTACTTGACTGCAGTCTTCCTCATGATAATCAGCAGCACTGGGATGGCTGCTTCTTGTCACATTCCCCAGAGAGAACCATCCGGTTCAGCAAACTTTGCTGTGTTGCCTTCAGTTTCTTCTCCTGATGCAGCAGTGGACACTCAAGGTCCAGTGTTTTCCTCTGAAGATCTGTCAGGGTTGAGCTAGTTGGCCCCATCTGTTTGCAGGGCTGTGTATGCATTGCACTAATTTCAAACACCATACATAATCTGCATGTCAAAGACACAACTGAAAGCTGTGGCAATATGCCAAGGTAATCTATAAGGTACTGGCAATATGCCAAGGATGCATCTGTGCTCATCTAGCTGTATTTAGGAATTAAGTAGGCTAAATACTTCACCTGTTACGAAGTTAATGCTTTTCTTAAAAAAATTCTGCTTCAGAAATTTGGAAAGGAATTTGAGAATTATTTTGGTAAAAGAGGCTGCAAACTGCTAGATATGAGTTCCAGTGACTTCAACACTATTGTAGACTCACTTCTCTCCAAAATGAAAGAATATCAGAAAGAACCTGGGAATCTGAAAGAGTGCTCCTCTTGGATGAGTGAGTTCAAACCAGAATTCTTAAGAATGGAGCTGGAAATTCCTGGTAAGTGAAGTCCTCGATTAGTAAAGGAAGTAATTGTTAAATGAAAAAAAAAATATTGCTAAAGAGAAGGGTTAAATCATATCCATGCATTTCATGTGTTTATACCCACTTCATGGCCCTAAATATCTATACTTGCAGTGGGTGAACTCTGTTACCTGAGAGAAATGTTTTTGCCAGCCCTTACAGCCTGAAGTGCCTGATTCTGTCTAATCTTGGAAGCTAAGCAGGATTGGGCCTTGTTGAAATCTGACTGGTTGACTATGTTGTGAATCGCCTAGAGAGCTTTGGCTATGCATGCTAGAGAAATGTGATAATAATTTCTTCTTTATATTTTGTTCTCAAATTTAATAAGTTACAGATGATTTAACATTCATTTTGGAGGACTGTGTGTTCCATCCAAATGTTTGGAGTATCAGAATCTAATACCTAAAGTTAAAAACACATGAAAAAATAATTTTCAGTTGAAATGTGGTATGAAAATAAAGAATGTGCTGTTCCAAAATAAAAACTTACTGGTGACATAGTTACTGCCATGAGCACAACATATTCTGGCTCCTGTATGAGAAAGGCTTTTACCCCACTTGATACCATACATGGTTCAGAACATGAGGGGTGCTGTTGGCTCGCTAGAAGAGGGATGCTCTTTCCTAGAAGAAAACATCGCTGGAAGTTGGGTTCTGCACCTGCTTGCTCTATATATTGGCACAGATCTCTGGGTTTGACAAAACCAGCTGGGCAAACCAGGAATCTTGAATATGCTAGGAGAGCTCTATTTTCAGCCAGAAAACTGCTGTCATGGCTAACATTGTGAGAACTGTGTGGGGAACATCCTAAGTGGACACTCTTCCTGCTTGGTTAAGGCCATGAAAACAGACTCTTGATCACTAGGATTTTCTACCAGTAAAGTGTAAGTTGCTACCTTATCCACTTACTTGAATAAGGACTTTGAAAGAAAGATTACTTTTTCTTATTCAGGTCAATATAATGGTAAAGGAAAGCCAATGCCGGAGTACCATGTCAAAATTTCTGGATTTGATCAGCGGGTATGTTAATATATTAATGTACACTGTTAATATTATGGTAGAAAAGTAGTGTATATAGGAAAATTATCCAGCATTCCCACCATGATCAGACTATTTCTGCTAATATTGATACCAAATATCCCAAAATAATGTTTAATATATAGTGTTTATATTTCACTATCTTGTGAAATGACGCAAATCTAGATTTTTTTTAATCAGATGACACAGAAATGTAGGCACTTTTCTGCTGATCTAACTCCTATACTGCAATATTTTTAAAGTGAAAACTACTTTTTTCTTTATTCCATTTTGTCCAAGATAAAAGTAATGCATTCCATCCGGAAACCAAAGCGTATAATTATCAGAGGCAGTGATGAGCAAGAATATCCCTTCCTTGTGAAAGGAGGAGAAGACCTCCGGCAAGACCAGCGCATTGAGCAGCTCTTTGATGTTATGAATATTGTCCTTTTACGAGACGCTGCCTGCAGCCAAAGAAACATGCAGTTAAAAACATACCAAGTTATTCCAATGACCACCCGGTAGGCAATAGCTAGTTTCTCATGTTGCATATGTGTCAATCTTTATTGCATGAATTAGGAGGAGGAATATCTCACATCTCTATGTCATATATACCATATAAGCAAAGATATAAATAATCTTTTAGAATTTTAATAAATATCAATAATTACCAAATACTTAGTTATTTATACTGCATTCTAAAATGATTGTCTTAGAACTACTTAAAAGTCCAAAAGCAAATCCTTGGAGGATGCCAATGTTTACATCCCTCCATTGCAAAAATTTACCTTTTATTCATATTCTCTTTCTGTCCTTTACATCATTACTTTGTTGTTCAAGGATATTAAAATGTCACACTGAAGAGGTGAGTTTTGAAACAGCCTTTCTGCTTTAGTTAAGCAACTGTAAGATAATCTGGGTGTCATACATGTCTGCACATTTATGAAGTGCAAGCTAAAATATTGCAGTAGACATCCAGTAATCATCCCCAGTATCTGTGATGCTAAGTAAAATGCCTACTTATTTTACTACACATTTGAGAAGGTTGGTGCTCTGACTCTAGCCATGATGTTGTTTTAGTATATCATACTCTACAATCTTCTGCTTGTAGATTTCTTGTAGGCAACTGGTTGGATAGTATGAATAGAATGCTGGATGAATAGATGGACCCTTGGTCTGATCCAGCATAGCTCTGTTATGGTGTTTACTTTTGCCAAATTATTTATACACATGTTGGATATGTTATCTTACAGGATAGGCTTAATTGAATGGCTTGAGAATACCTGTACTTTAAAAGAGTTTCTTCTGAAGAGCATGTCTGAACAGGAAAAGAGTGACTATAGCAGGTAATTACAATGTATAACTTTGTTCCGGGATGTTAAGAAAATATCTTTATAGATAGGCAAAAAGTATGACAGTTGATTAACAGTATTTACTGTATAATGTCCATTGGAATAGCTGACAATAAAACTTCAGCAGGCGAAAAGCATTTCCTGCCCTAGATTAATAATTGGCAGCTGTTCATTTAATGGTCCTCGTTTCACCTCCAACCTACATTCATTTAAATAAGTAGGCACAGAAAGAGCTTACTATCTCCCTTAGTTTTTTCATAATCACAATGTTCTTATCAATGGATTGCTTTTTACAAGCAGGTTTTTAAAAAAAAATTTGCTTGACTAAGCAGGAACTGAACTTCAGTCACAATGAAGGTAAATGTGAGTTCATGCTCAGCATGGATAGTACTGCGTCTCATTCCTGCATTAAGAGACAGGAAGAATGTCTGAGGAGCATTCTTAACTTACAGTATCACTCTACAGAAGCCAAATCTAAACCATTTTCCATCATGGAAGTACCTTGCAATCCAATGAACAAATATCGTAGTGTTGAAAATAGCCCCACGTGTATATGCAAACACTATAGAACTGAAGGGAGGGGTTGTGGGGGGGGTACTCAATACCATAATGCTGCTTTTGCCACATCTTGGTGCCTGTTATTTTCCATCAGGACTCATTAAACTGTTTTCTATTTGCTACCTGTGGCATAATTCGTTTGACAGTTGTATTAAATTGGATTTAACAGTTGGATTTAAATTCATAAAGTAGTATCAGCACATCAATTCTGTAGTTTTCAAAAAGAACCATTTGCTTTAACATTCATCTGCACCACCTGTTTTCTATCTTTTAATTTGCTCTCAAGGATGTTGAATATATTCTAAGAAATAAAGTAATAGTAAACATTGTCCATCGTGTAACTAATTCTTAAATGCAGTGGGCATTTAAGCAATTGCTAGACCATTTTTAACAGTTTAAATGGACTTGATTCAACACAAAATTTGTAATAACTGTTCATAAAGGGGAAAAGAAATTTGTCAAACAGAATGCTAACAAATACCGCAATCACATGCAAGTAAAGATAGAAAAAAAATCTGTATTGTTGTTAATTGTATAAAATTAACATTGTTAGGAAGTGCTTGTGGAATGAGCTCAGTTCATAGAATCAGGATAGTAGTGTTGGAAGGGGCCAGAGGGCCAACTGGTCCAAACTCCTGCTCAGTGCAGGACTTCCAAGTTAAACCATCCCTCTCAGATGACTGTCCAGTTGTATCTTGAATGCCTCTAGTGTGGGAGAACTCTGTCCTCCCTAGATAATTGGTTCCATTGTTCTAACAGTGAGGAAATTTTTCCTAATATCTAGCTGGAATCTGGATCTGTAACTTGAGCCTGTTTTCTGATACCCTGCATTCTGGGATGACTGAAAAGAGATCCCTTCCTCCTTTGTGACAGCCTTTCAAGTACTTGTAGAGTGTTATATCTCCCATCGGTCTTCTCTTCTCTAGGCTAAACATACTCAGTTCTTTCAATCCCTTTTCACAGGGCTTTGTTTCCAGTCCCTGGATCATTCTTGTTGATCTCCTCTGAACCCTTTCCAGTTTGTCTGCATCTTTCTTAAACTGTGGTGCCCTGAACTCGACACAGTAGTCCAGATTAGGCCTCACCAGTGCTGACTAAATAGGAACTAGTACTTCATGGGATTTGGAAGTGATACTTCTCTTAATGAAGCCCAAAATAGCATCTGCTGTTTTTGCCGCCACATAACATTGTTGACTTATATTCAGCTTGTGATCTACAACAATTTCAAGATCCTTCTCGCATGCAGTATTGTTGAGCCAGGTGTTCTCCATCTTGTAATGATACATTTGGTTTCTTTTTTCCTAGAGGCAGAACTTTGCATTTGTCCCAACTGAATTTCGTTCTGTTATTTTCAGCCCAGCATTCCAGCTTATGAAAAATTGAATCTTCTTTCTGTCTTCCAGGGTATTAGCTATACAACCTTGTGTATTTCTGAAAATTTGATAACTATCCCCTGCATTTCTTCAGGACTGAACCCTGTGGTGCCTCAACTTGCTACCTCTCCCCAGTTTGAGTAGGTGCCATCGATGAGCACTCTTTGAGTCTTCTTCCGTATCCGGCTGTGGATCTGTGGATCTATCTTCTTCTCTAGGAAGAGCTATGGACCTACCTGATCATTGCTCTATCTAGCCACTTTTAGCTAGTTTGCTAAGAAAGATATCATTGGACACTTTGCTAAAGCCTTGCTGAAGTCAAAATAATGTTCACAGCATTCCCACAGTCTATTAAGGAGGTTACGTAATAAGAAAAATGAAATCAGATTAGTCTGGCAGGATTTGTTCTTGAAGAATCCATGTTGGCAGTCCATGCATTGCTTTCAAGGTGTTTGCAACTGTCTGCTCTATAATCTGCTCCAGAATTCTCCCAGCTGTTGATGTCAGACTGACTGCCTGTAGTTCCCAAGTTCTTCTTTTCAACTGTCTTGAAGATAGGGACATCATTATCCCTTTCCAATCATCTGGCACTTTCCCTGTCCTCCATGATTTCTCAAAGATAGACAGTGGTTCTGAGAGTTCTCAGCATAAAGGAGTCATCCTTTATGACTCTAGGATGGAGTTCATCACATCCTGGAGATTTGAACTCATTTATCCTAATTAGATGATCCTTGACCATTTCCCTATCAGTCATGAACTGCCATCCTGCTCCTTCAGCTTGTTCTTTCCTTTCATCGGGAAGGTCATAGATCTTCATCTGAGAGAAGACTGAGTTAAATTAAACATTTTGATACAAGACATGATATGGAATGTTTCTAACTGCAAATGACAATAACTGTGCCTGATTTGAGTTCCAGGTCAAATAGAGTAGCTCAGAGTACTTAGCTCTAATAGCCATATGTTAGTTGGAAGAGAGCAGAAGCAAAAGGATAAAGCTTGCTTAAAGTGGGAACAAAGAGCTTTCGCATGTTAGGTATTTGTATAGTGTTTTGTCTATTTCAATAGGAATTTTCTGTTCTTCTGGAATCTTATTTGTCAATAAGCAATATCTCCTCTTGGTTTAAAATGTTTTCTTATGTTAAATGGTTTTCCACATTGTACTCAATGTTAAAAAATCAGAAAACAAATACAGCATTGTGTGCCTTTCAATTGATACTTAAACAATTTGTTTCAATGTTATGTTTATGTGTTTTTCCCCATTTACCAGCCCCAGTGGTCCTTACACTGATTATAGTGATTGGCTAACCAAGATGGGAGGGACTAAAGCAACTCTACGCTACACACTTATGTTCCAGTAAGTCTCAGAAATAATTGTTATCCCTTAATAATATTAAGTTTTCCCCCAAGTAATGATATGATGATGGTTCTACTTGTGTTAGCATATGCTGAGTCAGGACCACGACAAATGTTATCTCATCTAATGCAAATTGGAACAATTTTTTGCTTAGTTCTTCAGAAGAAGCAATTCTGCACTTACTGTATCTATAAGTGCACATTGCCCTTTTTGCCATGCTTCTTTCTGTTGGTATTGGCAAGAAAAAGCACATTCTCAGAGATGACATATTTTCTGCATATAATAGGAAAATGTATTGTTAACCTCAGATGCTTAGTCTAACAATGGCTGTATTGTTTCATCCATTGATTGATAGTACAGTGCATGAGCCAGTTAAGCCAGAGTATTGAGTTTAAGCCAGAAGAAACCATTTTAAGAACAGGTGTAATGCAGTATTACATTGTGTTGAATATGATCTCTTGCAGTGAAAACATGCATAGAGTGGTGTGATATGTTTCCGAGTACTAGCCATTGCAGTACTAGCCATTCTCCATGATGAGCTGAAATTTTCTCAGAGGAAAATCCTATTTCAGACAATGAGTAGGAAACGACAGGTGGTTATCATTAACTCCTATGAAGTGATATAATATAAAAATCTGCATTTGCCTCCAGGTTCCCCAGATGATTTTCTTACCAATTTTTAGATCTGGGTTTTCTTGTAGTGTTAAGATGCAATTCTAAAACTGAATTAACTTTGTCAAGAAGGCCTAAGAGGTGAAGGACAATGGGGAGCAAGCATTCTTGGAAATACTGTAAATGGGACGAAGGAAGGTTAACTAAGAGAGGATTGTAAGACTGTGGTAGTATTTTAAGCTAGTCCCCAAACCAGGCAAGCAGGGCACTCCCAAGAACAGTTTACTCTCACTGAAGTGAATTCATGCTGACCAAAGATAGATACCCTTCTGAATAATCCTCACAAAAGTGCCTAACATTTGTTTATCTTAATTTGTCTATGAGCTTTGTTTCATGTATTTTGGAGAGTCTACTGTTGTAAAGTACTTACACATAGTATGACACAGTATATTAAACTGCTAAAGAGAATTACTCAGGAATAGTAGTATTCTGTACGCAGCACTATCAGTGTTCATAATGCTTTGCCATACTCAAAGAGGTTATAGTCTAATGGCTGACAGTGGAGCAGGAACAGAAAGCCATCTAAGAGGAACATCTGCAATAAATGCAAACTAAAGATTTATCAAAAACGGTTGCTTCTGATTCTGGATTTTTTTTTTATCACAGATCACATTCATTAATATAGTGGTTCTGCTTCACTCACTTTCAGGCGAGCTAGCCGTACAGAAACAGTGACATCTTTCCAGCGACGAGAGAAGCGTGTTCCTGAAGACCTGCTGAGGTATGTTTTTATTTGCTACAGCCATTGAAAAAGATTAATTAGGTTAATTATTATTCAGATTAATAGAACCTAATGGTTGCCTACAGAAATTATCATACAGCCAAGAGCCACAGATCCTTCTCTTCCCATGTTCCCTGTTTTCTCTCTTTCCTCCTTCACGGACAGGCTGCTGGCTCACAATTAAACAAAACACCCCTCTCTCAGGAGCCTTCATTGATCAGCCTAACAGTAATATTTTTTTGTTCCCTTCCATTATGGCCAATGAGCCAGTGGTGGGGTACCTTTCCACACCCCAGTGTTGTTTGACTACAAATCCCATGACCATTATCAGTTATGCTGGTTTATACTGATGGGAACTGGAATCTAACAAGATCTGAGGGGGCACAAGTTTCCAACTACTACCTTCAAGCTTTTTAGTATGAAAGAGTGAAAATAGAGGGGGATTATTTGATCTAACTGTCTTATGTTTCAGTATCCTCAAAGCTACACCTCTGGAAATGAGAACAACTGAAGCTATACTTTAGCTGCACCTAATACATATTTTTTTAATGCTTGTCTTAAGGAGAGCCTTTGTTAAGATGAGTACAACACCAGAGGCCTTTTTATCCCTGCGATACCATTTTGCAAGCTCCCATGCCTTGATGTGCATCAGCCACTGGATTGTTGGTATTGGAGATCGACATTTATCCAATTTTATGATCAGTATGGAGACAGGTGGCATGGTGGGAATAGACTTTGGACATGCATTTGGTTCTGCTACACAGGTACTCTCCCTCTACTTTTTCTAATTATATGGGTTAGCGGTACTAAATGTTATGGAAAGCAAATTGTGTTTCTTTTTTTTTAAGAAAATACTATGAATACCTACTGGTTCCCTTGTAGGAATTTTAACTTTGTTTTCTAGGCAACACATAATTCAAATAAAGCAACATACTGAATATTACTCTCTTACAACTTTTGGACCTTGCACACAACTGAGTGAATATTTCAACAATAAGAAGTTAAAGCTAAACCTAGTTAACAAGAAGATGCATGCTAGTTGTTTGCAAGCATGATCTTATTGGAATAGGTGAAAATTAGTAAAATTCAAATGCACCTAAGCCTACTTGTTTGTTTAATCTTTTATTTTCCATTTACATTCTCAAAACAGGTTTATCATGCAAAACAATAATAAAAACATCACTATTAACATACAAATAAAACCTGTGCAGGTAAGTTGGAATGATGATTCTCTAATGCAGAGAACAACAGAATGGATCCTGTTTGGTAGAAATAATTAGCTTAAATTGGGAAGGAAGCCAATTTTAGGTATGTTGCAGTGGTTTCTAGATAGGACAACTACAGTGCTTTGCAGAAGTATTCACACACACACTGACATTTCCACATTTTGTTACATTAACATGAAATTAAAATGGACTGAATTGGAAATGTTGATCTATACAAGACATTAAACAATGTGAAGCTGTAAAATATTTTTATTGTGACACAAAAGTAAACAAAAACAAATTGGGATTTGTAGGTTATGTAAGTATTCACTCCTCTTGGTCTGACATAAGTTTAGTAAGCTTTGGTAGAACCCACTCCCCCTAGCAGCTACATTCTGTAAATAACAAGCAAAGCCACTTATGTGCTAGTGCCACATGATCATAGATTAAATGCATCTGTTTCCAGAAGCCTCCAAAGAAGAGAGCACATCCTAAGTCAGACAGCACATCTAAACAAACAACATTGTAAGCCCAAGGAGCTATCAAAACAACTCCACAATAAAGTTGTGCCAAAACACCTATCAGAGCTGTGTTGTTATTTTTTTAAAAAAACTTAAGTTTATCTCCCCAGAGCACTCTTAGTCCACTAATACAAATGGAATGAATATGGCTGAATTGTGACTGCCTAGTGAAGGCCATCCACCAAAACTAAGTGGTTGGGTAAGGAAAGCAATTAGTCAGAGAAACAACCAAGAAACTTCTATCAGGCAGCTGGAAAGATCTACTACTTAGCTGTCCCATAGATGGTTTCTCCTATCTATCAGTCAGATGCACCACAGTGTTGAAAAGAAAGACATTGGTGAAACAAACCCTTATCAGTAATGCCACTGTGATGTGGTGGTTAGTGCTGGATTGAGGACCCAGGAGATCCACATTTAGTCCCCACTCAGCCATGAAGCTTGCTGGGTGACCTTGGCTCACAGCCCCTCAGGTCAGCCCACCTCACAGGGTTGATGCTGGGAAGATAAAAGACAAGATATATAAGCCACTTTGGCTCCTCACAAGAGGAGAAATGATGGAATATAAATGCAATGTCATAACAATATCAAAGATATATAGGAATACAGCAAATGTGTAGTCATGGGTTGTCTGACCTGGTAAGACCAACATTGAACTTTTTGGTGTTCCTGCAAAACACTATGTCTGGCACAAGGCTAATAGTGAGAACACCATCCCTGCAGTGAAGCTTGGTGGTGGCAGCATGGGACTGGGAAACTGGACAGGATTGAGGGCAAGATGGATGCAGCCAGAAAAAGCAATTCTAGAGGAAAACCTGCCTCAGTCTGCAAGGGACCTGGGTATGTGAGGGTGGCTTACCATCCAGCAGGATAATGACCCTAAACTGGAATGTTACTGGAATGGTCTAAAAATTAAGAACATAAATGTCTTAGAATGGCTTCATCAAAGCCCAGACCTCAAGCCAACTAAGAATCTGTGGTAAGACTTGGAAATTGCTCCCATCCGACCTCAAAGAGCTGGAGTAGTTTTACTTGGAATAAACAGTGCAGGATTCAGATGCACAAAGCTGACAGATACTGAGGAATACTCACAGCTGGAATTCTTTTCAAAGGTGCTTCTACTGTGTATTGAGTTGGTGTGAGGGGTAGGGATGAATACTTATGCAACCAACAGATACAAGTTCACTTTTGATTACTGTATTTCAAGTGGTAACAATGCCAGTTCAATCAGTTTCAATTCTAGGCTGTAACACAACAAAGTGTTTAAAAAAAATCAAAGGAATGTGAATACTTCTTCTGCAATGCAGTATATTGCTAAAATAGCTGCTCTGAACTTGGTGAAGGAAATGTAAGATAAAAACATAATGAATATGATAATACTTTATATGATGTCCACATTAGTATCTACCTTCCAATTTATTTATTTATTTTCATTTATTCATTAATTGCAAACTGTTCTGCCTGGTGACAAAAAAGAGATAAATTAACCATTCTTGCTGGGTTTGCAGATTTGTCAAGTAGTTTTTGGTTTTGTTTTTAAAGTCATTTCCCCCCTCCCACTGCTTTCTCTGTAGTTTCTACCAGTGCCGGAATTGATGCCTTTCCGTTTGACTCGCCAGTTCATTAATTTGATGTTACCCATGAAAGAATCAGGTCTTGTTTGCAGTGTGATGGTGCATTCCTTAAAAGCTTATCGTGTAGATCAAGACATTCTTATTAATACGATGGATATATTTGTGAAGGAGCCTTCCTTGGATTGGAAAGTAGGTCACCTTTTTTGTTATTTCTGGTGAATCTGAACAAACGAAGATAAACAGTTTCATAGATTCCTATAACAGAGAGAATGGCTAGATGACCTGTCAAATTCTTATTTAGTCATTACTGACTATACTTGCAGCTTTCCAATCTTAGGTTGCATTCTGCTTGTGGAAATAAAGCCTTGCCTTAACGAATGCATAACCCAGTTTACATGTCATGGTTGCAATTCCTAGATTATTATTAACCCAGGAAGTGCAAAGGATGAGTACACAAGTCATTAGTCTTTTTAGTTAACAACCCAAGAATGCCCTGCTCTCCTGGGTGGTTTCATGACATGCAAACCTGGAAATTTTAGGTTGTTTATTGATTAAATGATCCAAATTTAAATCATTAACAAGCCATGGGTTAACTCTGGGTTGTTTAACCCATAAACAGTCCAGATTTTCAAGGTTTACACATTATGAAATTAAAAGAAGTAATGGTTCAAATGCTCTGCTTGTCCCAAGCAATTAAACAGGAACATGGAAACAGCACCTATATTTTAGCATAATTACTTCTCTGGTTAATTAACTGATAAAATTGCAATCTCCTTATTAAAAACCTAAACAATAGTAAAACTTTTCTTCATTATTCTTTTTCTTTTGTTTTTTAAACCAACTTATAATGAAACTATTGCATGCATGCACCAAATCATAACACTATTGTATAAACACACTAACATTCAAAATTAAAGTATCAGTTTAAGTATGACATTTAAATCTTGTACTATGCTTATATGGTTAGTAACTCAAGTTAAGTGAGAAATGTGTATTGGGATGTTTTGGAGATTGCAAGGCAATATTTAATGGGTGTGTATATTAACTTCTTCCCATCAGAATTTGGAACTTAAACAGTTGAAAAAAGGAGGCACGTGGACAAAGGAGATTAACACAGGCAACGTGAATTGGTACCCCCTCCAAAAAGTAGATTTTGCAAGAAGGAAATTAGCAGGTGCTAATCCAGCTGTGATCACCAGGTAAACTGTTAGCTATTCTGAAATTTTCATTGGGCAGATTTGCAAAACGAACAAAAATCTAAGTACAGTTGATGCATGCATGTTTGTCTCTTGATAATTGCAGCATGAGGTCATTTCATGCATCTCAGCCCTCATAAATTACCAGTGACCATACTTTTGTCCTACCTCACATCTTTTCAAACATGATACTTTCAGTAGAGTAATTTCTCATTTTCCCTTACAGTTCATAGATTAATGAAGTATCAGGTGATAACAGACCAAGTGTTCCAATGAATTTGCAAATATTCTTTCAGTTGTCCATAGTAACTTTACCTTTTTCACAGTTGGCACTTACATTGGATCCAAGTGGGGCTAAATTTCATTCTATTTGTATTTGCTAACCATTGAATGAATGATAAGATCACAGCCTGAAATTGGGAAAAAAATTTACAGTCTGATTTGCATTGTAATCAAAATCTTTGAATGGTTAGTGCATAAAATGGCTATAGACTCAGGTCCTGTGACTGTAGAAGCCCCATTCAGAGCCATCAAGAACAAATCTAGGATAGAGTCTGTACTACAAGAATCTCTTCACTGTTTTAATGTATGTTAGAGCTGAGAGAGAGAGAATTTGAAGGATTGCCGATATATCAAACCTGACCACCTGAGTACAGAAGCAGCATGTGTGCTAAACGGTGTCATTGTGCTTTTACTGTCATCTTTTTTCAAGTGATGAATTGAAGCTGGGCCATGAGAAATCATCTGCCTACAGAGATTATGTATCTGTAGCACGAGGAAGCAAAGAATATAACATTCGAGCCAGAGAACCAGAGGATGGACTTTCAGAGGAAGCGCAAGTGAAGTGCCTTATAGACCAAGCCACAGACCCAAATATCCTTGGCAGAGTTTGGGAAGGATGGGAGTCCTGGATGTGAAAGATAAAGACATCACCAAAATGAAATTCTTTGTTGGTGCCCGTGCAAGCAGGTTGCTACTACTTGGAAGGTGAAAACCAGTTGGATTTCGTATTATTTAAATAGTAATTGGTATGTAGGAAAGTTGTGATGTACTAACACTTTTATAATTAAATATTGCTGACATTAAGGAAGAAAATCTAACAGTGCCTTCGAAAAACCTAGTAGAAAAAGCCAGTGAAAATAAGTGGATTGTACTAGACATATCTTTGATGAGCTGGATTACAGGGATTGCATATTACCTATGAAGTGAAAACATTATGCTAGATTTGCTTACCTAACTAGTATAACAACAAAATAAGAATAAAAACACATGTAAGATTGCCCCTTTCCTTCCATGAGCAGAAAAAATAAAGTTGTGGCTATGCAGTGCACAGGTGAGGAGCTGCAATCATGTGTGAATATACTATTCCAGCATTACACTGCAAGGCTGAGTGGCCTGCTTGCATGAAAGCAGCAACTGGTCTGATTTAGTCAGTCAAAGAAACATGAACACCTGCTCTAAGGTTGAATACAGGCTGATCTGAAGCTTACAATTCTGTCTTTGTGTGCGCGCGTGTGGTAATTCAATTAAACACTAGTAAACTTAACTTCCTATGGTCTTTGTTAGTACTTCATTATTATGGCCAAAGTTTCTCTACCATGAAAAGCTTTTCCTTCCAACTAGGCAAAACTAAAGGCAGTGAAGCTGAAAGCAGAAAATAGCAATATAATTCTGTTGCTCCAGGTCTTGGTAAACTCTGCCTCTGGAGCATTAGGGAATGTCTGATATAGGGACATTTCTAAAAAAAAAGTTACTAAACCTATTTTAGAAGAAATCTTCTGTTGAGTCTTTCATGATTAGTGCATGTCATGGGACGTCTCTTAAAAACTGCACATGGAATTGCGTCTGTGCTGAAGTTTGTTTCAGGTTGTGTTTGCAGAAGAAAGAGAAGGAAAGGGCAGATGCTTTTAGGGTTGAAAAGCATGAAACAAATATCCTCAAGATTAGTGCAGCATTTTCAACAAATTCGTTTGAAGAACTTCTCTAAATCACCTTTAAAAAACATGGAGTACTATTTCCTCTGCTGGAATTTCATCAGGTATTTTGAGAACAAAGAAATGTAAGCCCCCATTGTGAACATACTAATTAAATTTGCTTCTATGAGTGTTTTGTTTCCACTTGAAAAGCCTAGAAAAAACAGCTGTGCAGTTGTTGGGTTTTTTCCCCTTGTATACCTTTATCATAAAGGTGTTGCCATGGTTTGAGAATGACATTCTCAATTCTAAAATACTCATACTGTAAATAGAAGTTCAAGTTGCATGGAAAGCTGCAGTGACAACCACAAATTAGACATCAGCCTCATGTGAGCTGCTAGCTTTTTGCTCTTTTCTTCACATACAGAGCACTTTGACCTGTAGGCTTGGAGGGTAAAGTTCCAAGTTTATAATTTAACCAGGTTCTTAATCTTAATGCATGACTCGCAGCCTTTTAGTAAGGAACTCCTGTGGATGTGACATTTCTATTCTTACACTGCTAGTCATCTTTTATTTCAATAGCAAATTCACGTTTCCTTATGTAGTCAAAATGAGGAAAAGAGGAAACTGAGAAAAACTAGTAGGCTTAGGGGAGCCCTAGAATTGCAGAAGTACCTTCTGCAAAACAAACACACACACACCCTTGAAAGAATTGAATGGACATCAAAACAGTTAAAGAGGACTGTATACCTCCAGAATGCTGGCTGGCTTCTGGGGAAGAAAATGGGCAAGTGGGCAGGAGTAAAGGGAGTGACATATTATATCCTAGAAGAGGGTACGGGTGGAATTCTAAACAGGATTACTTCACACTGCAACTGTAACAGTGACCCAAGCGTCATCCAAAAAGAAAGCAATTGTTTCCCTAAGGTAAGTACACAGATGCATATAAATGCATAAAGGGGATTGTCTTCATAACTCTAACATAGTATAGTAAGCATTTGGAAGAGGGGAGGAATTACAGCTAAGTATGAGCAAGTTATCCTTACTATACTTATACAGGAATACAGGGTTGTATTTTGGAAGTGGGGAAGAATTCACTGAAATGCTTTGTGCTGGAGCCCACTTGTATGCATAATATTTGATTGTACAGCATGCTAAAATCAGCACGGTGTCACTCAGGCTTAAGGGTTGTGAGGGCAGAGATGTCTGATGAGCATTACTGAGGGTGTGGGGAAGACATCTAACATCCTCATTGTTACTTGAGGAGGCAGAGCTTCCCGTTTACCCCACCAACCAATAAGAATCCACCAATTCACATACTGCTCCCTCACAAAGGGAAAAGTGAAAGCAAGAAAATGCAGAAGAGCTTACCAGTGTTCTAGGGTATGAAAGACTAATAAGGTTGTTCTTTAAGCCAAATTCCTATGCCAGATGCAAATACAGGTATTCAACTTACAACCATGATGTATATTCAGGGTTTTAGTCCGATACAGAAATCATATAATAAGCCTCAAGACCAGAGTTCATCAAATGCTAATACTGCATGAAGTGGATGGGTAGACTACTTAGTTCAAAAATAGCAGAAATGGAAATAGGCCTACTGTGCTCTAACTCTTTAGAGGTGGTAGGCTTTATTTTGTTAGAATATTGTCCAAATTAATGCTTTAAATACTTGAAATAACATATTACTATCTGAATATCAAGCCACTATTAATCATGCATTCCTAGAGATAAAATGGTGTTTTTATGGTAGAAAGGATAATTAACTCTGTCTAAACTTACTTTAATGTAGTATCCACTATATTTAAGCTATATTGCTGTGTAAAATAGCAAACTTTAAGTTCCTTTCCAAATTACTGTTTTAGTGCCTTTCCAAACACAGAAAACTAGGGTTACAATTTAATGGATAGTTTACACTTTAAGATTAATAAATAGTGGCAAAGAAACAGTAGTGATCTGCTTGCTGACTTACTACCAAGACCACTAAAGTTGGCAGAAACCACAGAGAGGGGAGAAATAGAATAAATGCACAATGGGTTGGGGTCTTCCCAATTGGGTCTCACTCTTTCTCATGCTCTAGAAGGAGATAGTTGCTGCATTTTTAGCCCTTTCTGAACTGCCCAGAACATTCTTAGCCACAGTTGCTGGGCACTGGATCCTCTTTCCCTACAGCAGCACCTTGTACATAGAGGTAGAGGATTTGAATTCAGAAAACTGTTTTTATACATTGATCAGGACCTATTGGATCATGACCAATAAATTGTATTTAGATATGTATAGTTGAGTGAACTGATTTTTCTGCCTTAGTCACACATGAGGTGGCATGTTCTACATGTACATCTTTAAGAAATTAATAGTATATCAGCATTAATTTTGATTTTTCAGTCTAAACTAGCTATATGAACACTGAAAACTGTCTTATGTGAGTTCTGGCCAATTGTCTGTCTAGCTCGGTATTGCTGACACTGGCTGGCTCTCCAGGGTTTCAAGCAAAGGCCTTTCCTCAGCTAGATTGAAGCTAGAACTTTTGGCATTTAAGGCATGTAATCCAGAGCCCCCCTTCTTTAGCAGGCCTGCCAGTCCTTGCTAGACCCCATCTCCTATCAGCCTCATCCAACATGACTAATGTTCAGGATTGATGGGGATTGCATGTCATTGTACTTGGTTTTCAACCACTTTATATCTTTCTGCAAAGCACAGACTCTTTGAAATCACAAGTGCCAAGTCTATGGGGGAGGGGGATCAGACAACAGCTGCTGCCAGAAGAGTGTCAGCCTTTCCAGAATCCAAGAACCAACAAGGAGGTTGCTTTCCTTTAGCTTTTCAGAAGCTGGCGGAATCTGAATGGGCTCCCCTGCAACACAGAAAGCGCATTAATGTAGCACAATCTTGCCATGTTTTCTGGAAAGCTGAGCCAATGGTAGCAGCTCCCTCCCAACACACAGACACCCCTAAAGTAAGAGCGCCTTGTTATCTCAGCTTTCCAGTAATACATAAACTCCTATCCCGAAACCTACATAGGTTAACAGTCTTAACAGCACTCACTGGCTTCTTTTGAATTCCTATCCACTGTGTCACTCAGACTCCTATTTTCTAAGGTGGCTTCCTTATAGCTCTCTCTTCAGCCAGAAGGGTTTCTGAGCTGCTATTTCTGAAACCATCTCTGTCTTCACCTGTGATATTCAGATTTGACCCTTCCTTCATATCAGAAATGCATTCTATGTTTCATCCATCTCAGGAATTCATTCCCCCATCTTTTTGTCTGAATCTGAGATGCTATGACATAAATTAGATGTCCACAGGACTCCAAAAGTAGAAATTTGACATTCCAGTCTCCTCACACCATAAGGTCCATTCACTTATGGAATGATGGAGGCATCCAACCACATTCTTCAACTGGCATATACCTCAGGATAGTATGCCCCTAATCTGTGACTTGGCTCCTCTGAGGAAGCATCTATCCTCCTTTGCCTCTTACAGTACTCTCCTCATACTTACTGCTTTGCTTCTTTTCTCTTTGCTTGACAATTGAAGGAACTAAGTTGGAGCTAGGAGAAGCAATTCTCAAAAGATCATAACCCCTGCCTTCTTGGACAGTAACAAGGAGACAACCAAGGGTTGTTGCTTTTTTGACACACACATGCTTTCAGAAAATACATAGAAATCAAGTTATTAACATTCTTTTAACAATAAATGCTGTGTAAAACTACTTTCATTTTTAAAACCAAATTGAGTTTAGACAATACATCTTTCTGCATTCTTTACGGCACTTTACCTGAGAGTTTGGACTGCTTAGACTTCATTTGAGCTGTTTCTTACTGCTTTTTCCTTGAAAAAACAACTTTGCAAAGTTAGCGCTATGTGATAATATATCCAACATCAAATCAGGATAATGTCTTGGGTCCATTCTACATGTTATCACCTTGATTTTATTTATTTGGTAGTGGCTACAGAATGACCTATTACTTCAGATGCTGTAAACTTAAGAACATGATCTGGAACATAAATGTATGTGCAATATTCAGCCGGAAGGGGGCAATGCTTCAATAGCTATCAGTGGATATTTGCCACAAGTACATACAAAAGCAGCTGCAGAGGGAAAACTGGGTAGGGCAAAGCAAGTGAAAAATATGCCCCCATTACAACATGTTCTTTAAGTTGTACTAGTCCTATCTCAAGGATTGGTGGGGCCAGTCCAAATCTGTGCTCTTTTTCTAATCGATCACATAAGGTGGGGATGTGAATCACCTTGCAAGATGGTTCCGTTTTAAAATTACTTTTAAACAACTCTCACAGCTGCTTCTGATATGCATTTTACGCTAAATGCATGGCAATACAACTTTCAGAACAGCAAGATGCCATGTCCAGCTTTCAAAACTGCAACTTCAAAAGCCAGTGTGATCCAGTCAGTGATCAGGCTGTGAAACCAAGGTTCAAACATCGCTTCGGCCTCAAGCTCACGATTTAGGCATAGGGAAGGAAGTTCCAACAAGGTTAACAGTTTGAAATGTTAAGACAGCTCCTAAAAGGAATCGGAGGACTGGCATGTGGCAAGCAAAAGGAAAACGCCTGACACTGCCTCTCCCGAAGCTGTCCCCCACCACACAACTTCCCTAAAACGATGACAGCTCTTGACGTGTGACTGACATCAGTAACGCCAAAGCGAAGAGGCTGGGTGGTCATCAAGAACGGGCCCTCCTTTCTCTCCGCCTACAAACCCGGCCACGGAGAAAGGGACATCCCAAGGAGCAGCACAGAAAGGCTCCTCCGCGAATCATGCTGTCTCCTTTTCTCTGGTACCCAAACTGATAAGCTTTTGGCTCGTGCCCCAGTGCGCGGCAGGGGATATACGTTTCACGTGCCCGCGCCATTGAGCGCGCACTAGCTTGCCTGCAGGGCTGCCTCCTCCTCCTCCTCCAGTCAGCCCACCTCCCAGCTTAGGGAATCCGTTTCCAGGACGGGAACGAGAAGAGCGGGGTATTCTCCTCCAAAGTTTGCAGCAGGCGCCACTAATACTGCAAGAGGGCCCTTCCCGTCAAGAGCAGCCCTCGCCTTGTGGGCGCGCGCGCGCGCGCGCATTTCCGCCTGGGGGGCGCCCCCGGTAGGGCGGCTGCTGGGAAGGAGGAAGCGAAGCTCCCAAGTCGCAGGATCAAAGGTAGAGAAGCAGCAGCGGAGAAATTGGGGCTTAGCACGCCCCGCCCAGGCCAGTCCCGGATGGCTGCGAGTACACCCGCCGCCCCTTGGCAGCGCGACTCTGCCCACCCCCGCCCTCTCCCGGGGCTTCTCCCGCAACACCCTTCCGCCGTCACAGGGCGCAGGAGGTGGGGCCCCAGTTGTGCATATAAAGGGCCGAGGCGGCCGCTCACCGCCAGGTTTTCCCTTCCACGGGCACACGTGCCGCCTAGGACGGGGGTGACTTGCTTGTCGTCGAAGCCGCGCGTGGCAGCCGCACGAACGACGAGGAAGGCGAGTAAGGGGGCAGACGGCGAGGGCTGCCAGGGCAACGTCCAAGCCCGGCCAGGTGAGGCGAGTCCCCCACCGGCGCGCACCTGAAGAGGGAGGGGCGATTTGACTGCAGCTCCCTGTCAGCTGCTCCGCGGCCCCGCACTCCCCTCGCCAGCGCCGAGCCCTCCCATGAGCGCCGTCACCCTGGACAGCCTGGATTCGCTGTCGTGCTACAGGAGCTGGTCGCTGGAACCCACCAACTTCTACGACGCCAAGGTGGGCGAGGGCGGCGGCGGCGGCCTGAGCCCCTCGTGCAAGCCGGGCAGCATGAGTGTGGCCGCCGTCGAGGAGGCCGGCGTGGTCGCCTCCGCCCCGAGCAGCGGCAGCCGCGACCTGGCCGAGCTGAGCGCCGCCGCACCGGCCATGTACGAGGACGAGAGCGCCATCGACTTCAGTTCCTACATCGACTCCATGGCGGCCGTGCCCAACCTGGAGCTGTGCAACGACGAGCTCTTCGCGGACCTCTTCAATAGCAACCACAAGGGCGGCGAGCGCGGCGCCGGCGGCGCGTACGGGGACTACCTGCCGCCGCCCCCGCCGCAGCACACGTCCAGGGGCAGCGCCTTGGCCAGCCTGCTGCACGCCAGCGTCCCGCCGGGCCCGCTCCGGGGCGCCGTCAAGCAGGAACCCGAGTGGGGCGACGAGGCATCCGGGTCGGGCTCGCTGCTGCCCTCGCAGATCGCCACCTGCGCCCAGACCGTCGTCAACCTCAACGGACAGCCCACGCCACCTACCTCTCCGGAGCCGCCGGGCAGCGCCTCGCCGTCCAGCTACAGCAGCCGCTCGTCCGCCTCGTCGTCGTCGGGCGGGAAGGAGCGGGCGGCGAAGAAGTGCGTGGATCGGTTCAGCCCGGAGTACCGGCAGCGGCGGGAGCGCAACAACATCGCCGTGCGCAAGAGCCGTGACAAAGCCAAGCGTCGCAACCAGGAGATGCAGCAGAAGCTGGTGGAGCTCTCCTCCGAGAACGAGAGGCTGCACAAGAAGATCGACCAGCTCACCCGGGACTTAAACAGCCTCCGACACTTCTTTAAACAGCTGCCGAGTGCCACTTTCCTGCAGGCCTCCGCGGCGACGGACTGCCGGTAACCGGCTGCAGAGGGAGCCACCGCGCCTGCCTATGCAAGAGACTTTGAACTTCTCCAGGAATACCTCACAGAGAGCCGCACAGACTGCAGCGGGGGCTGCGGGGGAGGGAGCGGGGAGGGGGGGCAGAGCTGCTGCCTGCGCCCGGAGACGGTGCCAAGGTGCGCGAAGGAGCCGAGCGGGGAGGGGGCGAGCCCCGAGCGCTCGCGGCTGCTTCCCTCCCAAGGAAGGAGAAACGTGGGTCGCAGGGCGAGAAAGGCACACACCGTGAAAACGTGTTGGCTTTCACCTGTCTTTTCTGAATGGGCTAAGCTTGGGTCTTTAACCATAAAACTTGCCAAAGGGGTGGGGGGGTGTTAAAGCTAAATGTCTCTTTCTTCCTAAATTATTTTTGTAATGATAGTTTTGTTTTTGTGTGTTTTTTCTACATCTTAGTCATATTGATGCAGCTACGGTACTTTGTAAGAAACAAAATGATTTTCAAACTCCTAAAACACTTTATTGTAAACAGCAAGAAAAAAATAGACTGAGCATGCTGAAACATTTATATAAATTTTTACAGCATTTCTAAAAATAAAAAACTTGAAATTTACTTTGGCTTTGTATTTGATGTGAAGGGGGCATATACTGATAAATGTGATCAATATTTGTTAAATAGTCAGTTACACAGTTAAGGGGTACTATTAAAGTGGGAATTCAAGTTGATTATAGCCACATAAATGGTTAACTACAAAAACATACTGGTTGCAGCTTTTTACCATCCTGAAAGTGTGGATTCCACCAAGGACCCAACAACTGAAAGGAGACTGTAATTCTATATCCACTTACTTGGAAGTCAGCCCTATTAAATGTGGGACTTTTAAGACTGTGGCTTTAATAGAAGCTGAGCTTGTCTTTGAAAAGTACAGTTGCAAGTTTATAAAACTGATCAGGTACAGGAAGTTAATATATCTGGATATGCTGTTCAAAAAAAAAGTATGCTTATTTTGAAGGATAAATGCACTTACAGATATCCATACTTATCAAAATTACTAATTTAAAAAAGTATGTGTACAAACATTCTCTTTACAGTACAGGGCAAAATCGCAGTGCAAAGTTAGAAAATAGTTTTTGCAGGAGATTAATGGGCCCTAGAAATAATTCTAGGTAATATACATTTTGAATGTGAAGACAAACAATAGCCTAAGCCTGAATGGCGTTAATCTGCAGGGGAAAGCATATCCACCCCCCACCAAAGGGGGGGTACTTCTATTTGAGACACAAGTACATCATGAGAGGGTAGCTGCTGATAAAGAACATTTTTGCTCCATAGCTGTGCCACTGAGAAGCTTTGCAACATACTTTACAAAGTCCTTTCAGGAATTACCTGCAATTAATCACAGACCACACACATATTTTGCTACATATGTAGCAAATTATGCCCTGGGAAGTTGTGACAACTGCAGCCTCCAAATCCATGCATACATAGCAAGACACAAAAATGGATCCAGGATCCTTGGATAGAAATTCTCCCCTCACAAACATGCTTCCAACCTGACTTTCCAAGATGACAATTCTCCCTTGAACTTCTGCTCAACCCATTCCACATAACTATCCAACCCACTGTAGAATTTTTGGGGAGCGGGGCTGCCATAAGGAGAATTACGTGAGGAAGAACACTTTAGCCAGCCATCTAAGCATACCTAACTCTGGATCCAATGGTATTCCGATAGCACAGTTATGGAAAGTTTGTTTAAGATAATAAACTTCATCCCTCATCAGGGCATCTCCAACACTGCTTCAAAAGTCTTTTGTTTTTTGCTGTCCACAGAAAAGATGAAGGACTTAGATTTCATACTACTCATTGGCTTAAAGCCACAATCACTCAGTCCATTTATTGTTTTTAAAGGTAGAATTAGCTAGTCACACAATGTAAAATATAGCCACTGTTTTCAAACAAACAAACAAAGTTTGGAATCTGAGGCATGCATATTTCGAAAGACCTGTGTTTATTGTGTGATTACCCTATCTCTCCAGCCCCTGAACTCTAAATACAAAAGCCAGCAGGGAAGGGAATATTTCATGCAAGCAATCCAATAGATGCCAAAGCTTCCTTTCTCTTTAAAAGAAAACCATCTCTACAGTGTACACATATGGGACTTTGAATCACAGCTATTATAATGAAGTCAGTCCAGCTAATCTGATTGTTTCATCTTTCATTTCTAGGATTTGGCTTTTTTAGGGAGGGTGGGGCTAGTGTACCAAATAAAAGATTAAATCCTGATTTAGTCATACTCTGAGCGAACCAATTGAAATCAATGGGACCTAGGCTACTCATTAATAATTCCCACTGGTTTCAACCAATCTACTTGAAGTCTGATTAAATCTGAATCAAACCAAAAGATTCATAGTTCCTTAATGGAATCTATTCCAGCCGTATCTGTAAACCCAAAGTTAATTTAAAAATACTTTTCATATTAAATATAATTATTCCAAAGGACTTATCTTGTTCTTTTAATTATACTGAATAATACAGCAGTTAGGATTTTTAAAAGAAGATACAATAGCCAAGTATTTCTATATTTAGACAATGATTAACTCTGTACATATGCCCTTGGCACCCTTTACCACATCAGCAGAAAGTAAAACTTCATTTTAACTTTTTATAATGCTTATCTGAAATTAGTAAAAAAAAAACCTTATTAACTGTTTAATTATTCCATAAGACATACTGCATTTCAACAGATTTTATTTAGCAAATTATTGCAATTGATTGTTATTAGATTAATAATCACAGTTAGTCTTAACTGCATTTAGCACAAAACAATTTTATAAACCTTTTCAACAAACACAATTGTTTTAACATCTAGTTATTTTTAAAAGCCCCTGGGACCTTATTTCAATAATTAATGTTCAGAGCAAGGAAAAATGTGGACTTCTGCATTTCAGTGCTCTGAAAATTACTTCTGGATGACCAGAAGCACACAACAGGAACAAACCAGCCAAAGGTAAGCATTTGGAAGTTCCACTGATGTCAGTAGGAGAGATTTCAGCACTAGCGTTTTAAATTCTTTCACTGAAATAAATGAAAGTTGAATATGCTTAATGCTGCTTGGCACATGCACAATATGAATCTTCAAAGTATTAGCAGGTACAGTTTATTAGCAGAATCACCTCCCAAAAACTATTGCTTGCATTATACATCATTTACAAGCATAGTTCACAACTAACTATACTTCAGGCTAGCAGATAGCATTCCTTTAGTTTTTCCTGTGTCTGGGAGAACAATTTCTTCCAGTCCAACACAGCTAGCTGGGTATCGAACTACAGACTGGACATAACAATATAAAGTCCCCACCTCCTGTCCCAGCAAACTCTTCACTCCATAACTCTGTAAAAATAAAGGATATTCAGTAAAATAACAATCTCATACCTTTTGCCCTGTTAGTATATAGATAAACATATTCCATAAAAGGTGCTTTTCAAGTAAACATTTCTTTGTTTTTTGTTTTTCTGCTCTAAAACCAAAGCTGCTTGTCTATGTGAATGCTTACAAAAAATAACAACTTTGTACTATTTGTATTGACATGAATGTTTTACAAATTTATGTATCTTTTTACAAAAATAACCACTTCAAGAAATACATTTGAATAAAGAAAAACTGAGTATTAAGGGATATTTTTAGTTAATTAATGCTGCAATTCTGTACACACTTACATGGGAAAATTGAATTCAATGGGACTTAGTAGAAATGCAAAGGATTGTGCTATCAGTGTACTATTTACATGAAAATTAAACTGATCATAAAAATATTGTCTAGAGCAGGAGTCTCAAACTCGCGGATCGCGGGCCAATTGCTGGGACAGGCGGGGCACGGGGGAGGGGCCCTATGGCCTTCAAAGCGCCAGCAGCACCTGGGCCGGCCGTGGGATGAGCGACCCACCACCACCGCGGTGGTGGAATACTTGATGCAGCCCAGCCTCACCCAGACTCTACTTCCAGCGGCCCCCAGGTAAGTTGAGTTTGAGACGCCTGGTCTAGAGACATTCCAGCATCCAACAGATATGTAAACCAAGAGATAACACACTTGGTATTCATGTTTTACACAGATACAGATGCTTCTACTGATGTTTCAATAAACCTATCAATTGTACAGATTAATTTGGAACTTGAAACTGTATATGACTTGACTTGCATTTGAATGCCATCTCTAAGCTAGAATTATGGCATTTCAGTATCTAATGTATTTTAAGTATACATACCCCATGGTCAGTTGGAGAAGACTCCAGGAGTGAAGAAAAGGTCCTTTGTAGCAGCTGATATTACACAATAAATGACAAAATAACATTCAGTTTTATGTATTCTTCGCCCACATTAAAAGTAGTAACATTTGATAAAAATCAAAAATCCATTCCTATAGTCATTTGTCCTCTTACAATGCAGCCACACCGCAATCAGATTGTGTCCCTAAAGGTATGCACGTCCCACAAGTTGCTATATTGTATATTTCATAACTTGATAGGAAAAGTTGTCCAGGATTTCATGATCCCTAACAAAGAAGATTCCCTACATTTAAAATGTTAAGGGATGGTGGAAATGTCTAAGAGAAGAGCTAATGTGCTGTAGTGAGTTGATCATTTGGTTAGACATGGATAGAGATTAAAATCTATGCTAACAGGTGGCTATTTGGGAAGTTACTATGTTTAACTTAGATGAAGGTTGTTCATAAAACATTATTCATTTCAGAGTACAATTAAGTAACAGAGTCTGACTGCAACTCAACTATTATATGAACGTGTTTTTTTCTCATACCTTAACTTTTACTGTGGATAGTGGCAGGGATTGGCAATGCAGAAAGATTTCCAGATGGTTATTGAGAACTGGTGAAATTATAGCTTCACAGCACTGGCAACAGTAAAGTAATTCTCTGAAATCAATGAGAAAAGATTCATGTTATATATGTATCCCACATCAGACTTTTGTTTATCCATCTGACTGTATGAAAGTAACCAACATATGGTATTGAGTTTCCTGGTGTTTATTTTCGTTGTTAACTGGAAGAACTAATCTTTATATTCTCCCTGTCTGTCACAATCCTATAGAGAAATATGATGGAACAATATGTAACGTGGGAAACATGGGATTCCCAGCTCCATGTAAGATTGCACTACTAATGTCAAGGAAAGTGACAATTAGCAAAAGAAAGCAGACAGTACAAAGGGAGCCTGCCTTCTTCCACTTGCTTGGAAACACCCATCTTGGCCATTTTAAAAAACTGCTAGGCTCCAAGACTAGAACAAATCCAGCTTTGGAGAGAACTGGAAAGGGGGACAGGGCCACATTTACCTTGAAGAATTATGGGTTAGGGTTAGGGTGTGAAAGATTTAAGTACCCCATTAGCAGTAGTCCTGTCCTGTTCATCTCCTACTACATTCTTGTAAGCCAGAATCATATGTTTAGGAAACTTTATGCTGGATTTATTTAAAGCATTTTTACCTTGCTCTTCAATCAACAAGATTCCCAGAGTGACTTACACAATTTCAATAAAAACAAAATAATTCCTGCCCACATATTTAAATTGCTAAAAGACAAAAAGGAAAAAGGGATTGGGAAGGAAGAGGAAAACAAGCAAACCCAAGCTCCAAATTCTTGAAGTTACACAGTAGTTCTTATAATGACTGGCTGGAATAGGAATTGTTCAGGGATACAAGAAGCCTGATGGAGCTGATTTCTCAGGAAAGGCAATGGAATGGCATTGCTTATATCTCTCCATCTGCTGCATCCAGGCTGAATATATTATGGCCAAAATAGTTATAATGAAAAAGCTACTGTCATTTGCTTGTTCTGTGGAATATTCACTGCTGTATTTGGAACTTCTGTTCTTATGTACAGTGAACAACCATCGGTATGTCATTTCCTCTGAATCTGTTGATTCCTCTAAAAAATCTAATGGCACTGAATTATAGAAGCTGTGTGATGTATGAAGTAATTTCTTTGTTTTCTATTAATATATTATCAATTAATTTTGAAGCCAAAGACATCTATGCACAATATTATAAACTTCTGTCATGGTCCCATTCCACATTGAATCATACAATAGAAGAGTTGGAAGGGACCAAGTATGCCACTGAGTCCAAATGGCTGCTCCATGCAGGATTCCAGTTTAAAGCATCCCTAACAGATGGCTGTTCAGCTGCATCTTGAATGCTTCCAATATGGGAGAGACCACAACCTCCAAGGTAGTTGGTTCTATTGTCACAATGCTCTAACAGCTAAGATGTTTTTCCGGATGTTCAGCTGGAATCTGGGTTCATGTAACTTGAATCCATTACTTTGTTTCTTGCGCTCTGGGGTAATTAAAAATGATCCTGGCACTCTTCTGTGTGACAACCTTTCCAGTAGCTGAAGAGTGCTCTCATCACTTTCCTCAGTCCTCCCAAAGCTAAACATGCCCAGTTCCTCCAGTCTCTCCCCACACAGCTTTGTTTCCAGTCCTTTGATCATGATTGTTGCCCTCCACACAATTTTTTTCAGTTTATCTGCATCTTTCCTAAATTGTGGTGCACAGAACTGGACATAGTACTCAAGATGAGGCAAGTGGAGGAAATATTGTGACAAGTCTGACCAATCACAACTTAGCTCTCACTATCCAGCCTATTACATGGTGATAAAGCTGGCAAAAAGGAAGTATTTTGTCACCTCTGTTGCGTCCTTACACTGCTGTCCAGCTGAACTATTTCAGGGTCTCCTGAAATCTGGTTCATATAATGGAGCTCTAGAACCCATTGCGACTCACTGTGATGAATTTGCTATGCACTTCAAGGAAAAAAAATCTCAAATTCTCCATGAGTTGGATTCCACAGTTGTTTCAGTTCCATCTAGGGATGTGTCCAGAGCACCATCTCCTTTTGCTGCATGAGTCTCAGTTACTGTGGACCAAGGATGTGGACAAAGTGCTTGACTCTGACCATCCTACCACCTGGCCACTTGATCCTTGCCCATCATGGATCACTGGAAAATCAGAAGAGAGAGTTTGCCTCTGGCTCCAGGAGGCTGTGAACACCTCCTTGAAAGAAGGAATCATACCAGCCTCCTTTAAAAGGCCACTGTGATAAGACCTCTCTTTAAAAAGCTGAGCCAGGATCCAGAGATAGTTGCCAACTACTGACCAGTAGTGAACATTCCCTTTTTGAGCAAGGTATTGGAGCAAGTGATGGCCAGACAGCTCTAGGCACTCTTGGAGGAAGCAGATTATCTGGACCCATTTCAACTGGGTTTCAGGCCGAGACTTGGTTGCCCTGTACAATGACCTCTGTCAGGAGAGGGAAAGGATGAATGCAACCTTGATTCTTCTAGACCTCTCAGCAGCTTTTGACACTATCAATCATGGTATCCTGCTTGACAGGTTGGCCAGCATGAGAGACGGGAGCATTGCTTTGCTGTGGTTCCACTCCTATCTGGTGACCATATACAAAAGGTCATGCTGGTGGATAGCTTCTCTATACTATCCGCCATGCCGTTCAACATTTACATGAAACCACTGGGAGAGGTCATCAGGAGGTTTGGGCTGAGGTATACTAAGTGTCTACCTCTCACTCTACCTCTCATTTACATCAAATCCAGGTGAGGCAACCATTGGGCTTAACTGGTGTCTGAGTTCAATAATGGGCTGGATGAGGGCCAATAAACTAAAGACAGAAGTACTGTTAGTTGATGATCTGCCTGACAGACTAAATTATCATTGCCCTTGTCTTAGATGGGGTAGCACTTCCCCTAAAGGACAAGGTCTGCATCCTGGGAGTGTTCCTGGACCCCAAACTTCTATTGGAGTCTCAGGTAGACTCAGCTGCCACGAGTGTCTTTTTCCAGGTGCTGAATACAACAATGGCCTTATCTGAATAAGAGCTATGGTTACTCAGGCACTGGCAACACTAACTGGATCACTGTAATGCACTCTACATAGCACTGCCTTTAAGACAGTCTGAAGACTTCAACTGATCCAAATAGGGTTGCAGATCTGATGTCATGTATTAGTTTGCATAAATTACACTGGTTGCCAGTTGAAGCCCAAGCCCAATTTAAAGTGCTTGTTTTAATATAAAAAGCCCTAAACAACTTGGCACCTGGTTACTTGAAGGACTGCCTTTTCCCATATACTGCTACCTTCCCATTGAGTTCTGGGAATGAGATCCTTCTGAAAGAGCCACCTCTAAAAAAAAAAAAGTAAAAAGGATGGCAATTAGAAGGGTCTACTCAGTGGCTGCCGTCCACCTTTGGAATGGCCTGCCTCAAGAGGTCCACCTGGTGCTATTACTACTTTCATTTTGGTGCCAGGCAAAAACTCCTTATTCAAAGGTTTTTTGAAACCTGACTTTAACACCTGATTGCAAAGGCTCACTTTGCTATCAACAGGTTTCCCCCACCTTCTTCCTGCACATATATTCATTATTAATAAAAATGTTGGCAAGCACTGGTTCAGGCCTGAACTATGGTATCCCATTCATTACCTTTTCCCAGTTTCAGAAAGTGGCACTAATAAGCACTCATTCAGTCTGATTCTACAGCTAATGATGGATCCACCTAACAGGTGTTCCATCTAGCCCACTTTTAGGTAGTTTTGCTAATCAGGATAACATGCGACACTTTGTCAAAAGTTTTGCTGAAGTCAAGGTATATTATGTTCACAGCATTCCAACAGTCCACCAGGGAGGCTACCTGATCAAAACATGGTACCAGATTAGTATGGTAGCATTCATTCTTGACAAATACATGCTGGCTTCTAGTAAACACTACATTGTTTCCAGGGTGTTTGCAACTGAATGCTTTATGATCTGCTCCAGAATTCTCCAGGAGACTGATGTTAGACTGACTCATTTCCCATGGTCCTTCTTTTTCCCATCTTAAGATGAGGACAACATTAACCCTCTTCCAGTCATTCCACTTTACCCATCCTCCATGATTGATCAAAGACAGTAGTTTCAAGAACTCTTCTGCCAGTTCCTTTATTACTCTAGGATACAGTCCATGAGATCCTGGAGATCTGAACTCATTCAAAGTAATCAAGTGTTCCTTGATGTTCAATCTCAAGCTGCAATCTTGTTTGCACTTTCTCAGAAAAGTTATAAGACCCTTTTTTGGAGAAAACTTACTTTTTTTGGTCCAACCACCATTTCTTTCCTTTGTCTTGTACTATGCACATATCTGAAGGAGGGTTTTTTTGTTTTGTTTTTGGTTACTGTTGTTTTTAGCATCCCTTGCTAACCTCCTCTGATCCTGCCATCCCTGCAATTCTGTGTTAACTGCCTAAATTCTTCCTTTGTAGCTTGGCCTTCCTTACACTACCTATACATGTCATTTTTTCAGGTCATCTCTAAGCTTTTTGCAAAGACACATGGGCTTATTCTGTTGTTTTCTACTTATTTCCCTTTGTTGGACTTGTTTGCAACTGTATTTTTAGATTTTTTTAAAAAAATCCCACTAATCTAGATCTCCTCTTCTCACTAGAGTTACTTGTAATGGCAGGACCTTACTTACCACTGTTTTTTCATTAAAATTAGCTTTCCTAAAATCCAGAGTACATCTTTGGCTAAAATCACACTTTGCATCCTTTAGAATTTCTGCAATTGCCACTTCATCCACTAGGTTATCCCTGCTGGTTAGAATCAAGCCAAGCATAGCCTACCCTCTAGTTCCGTGGTGGTGAAACTACAGCACGCATGCCACAGTGGGCACGCAGAGCCCTCTCTGTGGGCACATGAGTCAAGTCACCCCAGCATTGCCCCAGCAGATGAGCATTGGATAACAGCAGACATAGGGGCCATGCGCATGCTTGGGAAGGAGTAGTGTGCCAGGCAATGATGTCACAAGCTGCAACAAACTAGCCGCGACTTGCCCGAGCTTTTGCATGGCGGATCAGTGCGCTGCCAAGGATATATATGTATTTGCTTGGACTGGCTGTGAGTTGTTTTTTTCTAAACTAAAACCTCATTTTTCAGGTTTTATTGTAGTGTTGGCACTTTGCGATAAATAAATGGGTTTTGGGTTGCAGTTTGGGCACCCAGTCTCTAAAAGGTTTACCATCATTGCTCTAGTTTCTTCCTTTACTTTCTGTAGGAGGTAAGTTATCAACAACAGAAATCAGGAATCTCTTGGAAGACTGTGATCAGCAGGGTTTGTCTCCAAACATACAGAAAAACTGAAGTCTCCCATTGGCACTACATCATCCTTGCAACATTGACAATCTGTTTTTCGAATGTTCACCTTCATCTTTTCCTTGACTGGGTGGTTAGTAATAGATTCCAAGCACCATGTTCCTTTAATTCTTTATCCCATTTATTTTAATCCAGATACTCTTGATCAGGCTACTAAGCTTGTCCTCCTATACTTCTGTGCAGAGATATATATCTGTAACATACTTGGTTAGGTGGTTAGAATATTAGACTGGGGACCTGGAAGATCCAGGTTCTAATCCCCACTTGGTCATGAAGCTCACTGGGTGATTTTGGGCCAGTCACTCACTCTCAGCCTAACCTACTTCACAAGGTTGTTGTGAAGGCAACATGGACATATATAAGGTGCCTTGGGTTCCTTGAAAGTGGAAAAAAGGCAGGATAAAAATGCAATGTCATTGTTGCCACCATCATCATCATCAAGTGTGACTCAACGTCCCTTCCATTCTTTCTGAACAAGTTACAGCCTTCAATCGCTGCATTCCAGGCATGGAAATAATCCCAACAAGTTTCCGTTACGCCTATGAAGTCGTATTTGTCCTCCTGTATTAAGAGTTCAAGTTCATGCTGTTTGTTTTCCATAATCTGTCCATGTGCTTTATATACTGTAGCTTTCTTCCTACATTTTTGAAATACTATTATTGAGCACTATTATAGCCACTACATAAGCCTTTGTCCATTGTTACCTCCAAGCTTACTTCTTCATCCCCTGCTGGATTCAGTTTAAAGCCCTCCTGATGAATTTCTTCTTCCTGCTGATGAACACATTTTTCCAGTCCCTTTGAGGTACAACCCATCACTTGCCAGCAGTCCATCTCTCAAGAACTGTAGCCCATAGTCTCAGAATCCAAATCTTTTGAGGCTACACCGCTTTTGTAGCCACACACACATTCAGTATATATTTCTTTCCCTTTCTATGTCTGTTCCATATACTGAAAGAATGAGTGAAAAAACTATCTGGGCCCCAAAGGCTTTCCGTTTCATTCCTAAAACTTCAAGGTCTGATGTGATTTCTTCAAAGCTCAACTTGGCAAGAGTAGGAGGGGAAACTTGTAAGTAGACTTTTAAGCATTGGCAACCCTTCAGTCGTATCTCAAATCCATTTTCCAGGGAGACAGCATGGGTCTTCCATCCCACAACCACTACTCTTCTCATCTTGTGTAGGCTTTGGTTTCACTGTCACTATTGACTAACCTTCAGATGCTTGCTTGCTGTTGAATGAAGTACCCTCTAGTTCTTCCTCTGCAGGCTACTCTCCAGTCTCATATTTAAGTACCTGAAAGTAGTTTCTTAGTCCCACTGCTTCTACTGGTGCAGAATGTCTTCTAGTTCTTTTGTTAACTGTCACCCTTCCCCAGGAGCTTCCCGTACTTCTTTCACCCTTATTACCATTCAAATACATACAGCTTTCTGTAGGGAGGCTTTACTCTGAGGCCACAAGTCATCCTGACAACTCATGGCTTGTTCTAGTTGTTCAAGTTACAATGGGTTGTTGTGTCCTCTGAACTTGGAAGATCAATTCCAGTGCGGGTTATAGAGAGTGGCACACACCCCTTTCCATTCCTAGTAGCCTCACACTTACAACTGCTAATGAGAGCCCCTACACTGATGTCCATTTGGCACTTCAGAGTGATGCTCAGTGGTTTACTAACTTATTTTTTCCAGCTAAGAAATCTGTGCAAATGTCTTCATAATTTCTGGGTTAATCTTCTAGAAGTATGCTGTATACAGCACTCTAATATATGTGGTGCCACATGGGTGATGTCCCTGTATGTTTCAGCTGTTCAAAAGGAGCAAAGTGCAATCAATAACAGATTGAAATGGACACACATGCTAATTTGTACATAGTAGCTGAGCAGTCTACTATGAAAATCACCAGTAAAGGGAGGCGGGTGGAAGTAGGTGCACCAAAAGGAAGTTCTCAGTGCCAGTCACATTTTCCACTCTTCCCTGGCTCCCCAGTCACTCCAGAAACAGGAGATATTTTCATGGTTCCTTTACAGACCACTTACTGCAGTTTCCTAACTCTAAAATACAAACCCTGAGAAGGTAGCTAAATAGCACAGAATGAATGGGTCCGCTTTGGGGGATACAGATGTTAGTCTCAGTGATAGTGTGGTGCCTCATCCTATTCTGCTCATCCCATTCTGCCTGTTCTAAGTGTCTTTTTTAATTGTTGGGAAATACATGCACATTTCATTACTAGAAAGTGGAGGGGAAATACAAGTTTCCCCTCCATTTACTTCTTAGACATAAAATCTGTGTATGTTTCTATTCTATTTACTTCCCAGTCATGAAATCTAAATATATTACCACTCTATTTCTTTCACAGCCATGTAATTTGCATATACTTCCCAGTCAAAAGAAATGCAATAATTTTCCAGATAGTTAAAAACAAACAGATGGAAAAAATGGAGCACCAGAAACTTATACTTGCTCCTACCCTTCTATCACAGCGGCTCTCATTCACTCTGTCTCATTCTCAGGGTCTTTTTTAAAGTACTTTTAGGCAACTACAGTAACTACATTCGCAAGTGCTTTGCAAAGTGGGGAGGAGAGAGTTAATATCTCCCCTTTCTGGAAGTGCTGAAAAGGTAGAGGGCATTAAGAACCATCAGTTCAATACTTGAAATGAAGGATGGCATTGTTAGGGGGGAGATATTGTTATCAGTCCCTATTTAGGGCATCTACCTTTTCCTTCTTTACTAGGGATTTTCAACTAATAGCTTTGCACTGTGTGCAAGTTTCCTTATATGCAGTCTTATCCTGTCAATTTTCATTTAAGTTACCAACTGCCCTTACCTCCCTTTGTGAGAGGTAAAACTTACACGGACATTTCCCAGGCCACACTACATATATCAGCTGTAAGTACACATTTCTAAATTGCAATGAAAGTAAACAAATTATGAACACAACTGCATAATTTCCTGGAGCTGAGTAAATACATTAAAAATAAAAAGAGATCCCCAATTATGCATTTTAGATACTCTGACTTGCGTTTCTTTTTTCCCCTTTAAAGCAGTGATGAATAGGAGTAGTGACTGGACCAGGAAGGGTGAGGCAAGATTGGTTCTGCTACAAAGGGCATTGAGATACTGGCTAGAGGACCAACAGGGGAAAAAGGAGAGAACAACACACAGTGAGCCTGACCGTCTGTCAGGTGTTTCATGGGTTATTCTGTGGACAATTAACTCACTATGGCTTATGAGATGGCCCCCGAGATCGGCAGCAGAAGCCCTCCTCCAGGAACGATATTAGGAGGCAGAGCACCTGGAAGAGGGCCTTCTCTGCGGTGGCGCCCCATCTATGGAATGTGCTCCCCAGAGAGGTCTGCCTGGCACCGTCATTATATGTTTTTCAGTGCCAGGTTAAGACCTTTTTATTTCATCAATATTTTAATAAGCTTTAATATTGTATTTTAATATTATATTTTAACTGCAGACAGAGTGGGTTGATTTATGTTGATTTTTATGTTAATATTTTGTTATAATTTATGTATATTTATTTGTATTTTATTTATGTAAGCCGTCCTGAGGCTTTTGCAATAGGACGGCATATAAATATCACAAACAAACAAACAAATATTTACAGGGTGGCTTAACAAGTTGCATCAAACAACCCAGAGGAAAGATTAAAATGTAAACTATTTCTGCCTTCCATAATTTGTCTGAAGAATTTTCTTTTCCTCTGGACAACATTAAAGACAATGTTGTTGCAATATCCTGATCAAAATTAGATAGGGTTACAGGCTGCAAATTGTCCAAGTTTGCATTGAAGGATCTCTAGCTTTATTCCATTACTTCTGAATTTCCATCTGGCCTTTGATTACAAACTCTGTCAAAAGGTTTTTGAGACTCCAAATACACATGCTGATATGATCATCCTTATCTAAATTCTAGCTAACAAATGCATGTTCTTACCTGTTTTGTGGATGCCACTTTATTTTTCCACTGCCACACCTGTTACATGTAGGGCAGGAAAAAGCAGTCCTCTCATTAATGCCAGCAATAGTGCCTGAAGAAATAGCAAAATGTTTGCATGGACTTAATAGGCAGTAATGATGATCATCACCTTTAATATTTTGTCTATTTGTTTTCAACACAGTATGGCTTTTTTCTTCTCTGCAGAAAGCTGTGTGTACATATGTGTATGCACATTTAAAAACAAATGAAAACTGAAGAGGAATAATTTCAGCTATAGTATTACTTCATCTTTATATTTATATCCTGCCTTTTTCCTTCCAAGGAACCCAAGCTGGCTTACTCAATTCTCTTCTTCCTCCTCCTCTCAATCTTATCCTCAAAACAGCAACCCTGTGAAGTAGATTGGGCTGAGAATCTGTGACTGGCCCAGACTCAGGAGTCTGAATCTTCTCAGCTACAGCCTCACACTCTTAACCACTAAATTACAATGGCTTTTTTTAAAAAGACCTTTCACTGACTTCAGAAAACTCTTATTTGCCTTGTCTTTAACTTCCAAAGTATCAAAAGCTCTGATGTCGCAACTTTTAACATTTTGCCTCTTCTTTCTCTTTCCACATCAGAAACCAAGTGTTTTTAGTCTGAACACCCAGATCCATTGCTCTTCCCTTTGCAACAAGAGGGGAAATAAGTCTTCCAACAACCAACTTGGAACAAACCAAGTTATTATGCCTTATTCAAATCTTGGATTAACATCTTGGCTTCTCCTGAAATTTAAACACAGTTTCTGGTTCAGATGTAATAGAAGACTAGTTAATGGAAGAATCCTCCACCTCTTTGCTCATTCTCAGGAACAATATGCCTAGCCAAAATGCATATTCATATCTTGTCTCATGTGAAGATACTGCGATCCAATTCAGTAATTGCCTCAATCTGATATCTGGAAAATGCCAAGGGGGAAGTGAGGAGTGAAATAGAAAAAAAGCTGTCATACTTGACTAGAAACATCAGGAACTGAAGGCCAGAGAGCTATTTTGGATCAGTAATTTTTTTGCTAAGTATTTGTCAAGTAAGTTGGGAATTTCATGAGGAGGCTAGTAAAAAGATTTAAAACAATGGAGATTTTCTGAGCCAAGCAATAAATGACTCAGAAATGATGCAGCACTATTCATAAGTAAAACATACAGATGGGTAATCTTGCACACATGCATGTAAATGGATCACAATTGCCAAGTCTACAGTATGCATATCAAAGGCCAATTCCTTGAGTAAAAGTCATGCAATGATAAACTAAAATGTTAGAGAATTACAGCTAGTAGTATTTGTGTGTTCTGAGAAGCAGTGCTGGAACACTTGTTGGTGAGGAAACAAAGCAATCCACATAGGACTTTATGTTTCTTTATGTGTCATGCCAGGAGTTTCACAGACTCTGCAAATGGCAGTTGTTCCTAAGTGTTAATGTGAGATGCATAGTTCACAAAGGAAACCTAGAACACTGCAGGAAGCACAAGAAGATCAAAGCTGGCATACAGATCTATCACTTTAGAACGCCACTCTTTCTCCAGAGTGCACAAGATGGTATGTATAGGATTCTTCTAATTTATCCTTTCAACAACCCTGAGAGAAAATGAATGCCTCTGTGATAAAGCAAGAAGTTGATGATTACTGTGAACTGATATGTTTTCTTATAGGAATTCACCTTTTTATATTTATTGTTGCTGTTACTGTTGTGTTGCAAATAAAAATATTTTTACAAGTAATGACCCTGTGAAAGGTAATGACTTGCACAAACACCATTTTCCCAATATGCTTCATTCCTGAGATTTGCACTAAAAAATACACTAGTGGAAAAAGTTACAGAGGTGCTGTTGGACTACTTGCATTTGTCCTGGGCAGACTAGAATTGTTTACTTTCCCCAGCTGAAAATAAAATGTGCTTTACTAGGGTATACACTAGAGTGTACAGTTTTATAATTGCAAAATGATCAAATTGGTTCTTTGTTTATGCAGCACAGCATATCTGGGAAAGGCCAAAGAACATAACTAACATGTTTATATTTAGATTATATAACATTAAGAAAAAACTAGTATTTCTAATTTCTTGGGGAAAATCCCATTTTTTTAAGATCATTATTTTCCCCTTTAATTTCTAAACTAGTAGAAATGGGTCATGTACCATGTGGAACAGAATTGGTGGGGACACAATAGAATCAATGGCGTCTTGATGCCTTATTGGATATTGCCCTTTATTTTAAAATCCAGGCACCAGACCTGAATAAGTGGCAAAAATAAGCGCACTTCATATGTCCAGATTTTAGCATGTATAGATAAGACAAAGACCCAAAATCAATGCCTGAACTCCTTGTGTTGATAAGGAAGGTGTGTAATTGAAAGAGTGGCAGTGCTTGGCTACAGTCCATTGCATAAGTAGGAATACTAATTTTTTGAAGAAGTACTTGAAAACAAAGCTAGGGATAAATGGGATGAAGTGTAGATTCAACCAGCTGTTCCTAGGATATAAACTGAAAAAAAAAGCCAGTACACACCAGTAGCCAGTAAAAAGTATCTAGATCTGAAATGGACAAATACATGAAATAACTAACTCAGCATTTGCTGATTTCAGAATCTATAAATGCTTAAGAAAATATTGCTCATATGTTTTATGTCATCTATCACGTCTTGCTGTTGTTCAATTATATTCAGAACTTGGGGTCAAATTAAGTGATGAGTTACTGTTAAACAGCAGAATAGAGATGAATGTAGGAATTATAAGCAAAGGAGCAATGCAGTGGCGTGCTAATTAGAAAAAGAACAGAAAAAGAAAAGAAACTGAAAATGGCAAAAGAGATGACACTTTAAAGTACTTGCTTCCTCAAAAATAAATCTACAAACTGAGCTTGATTTTAAGATGGCAAACATGCATTAACCCTACATAAATTAAAAAGAAGTAATATTCCTAATCCAAAATACTATTTGATAATAATGTCAAGCAAATGTCAGGATTTGTTATCTTTCAGGTTACCCTAATAGTATATACCAGTCTCTCCATTCCCAACATACACTTTTCCTGTTGAATCTTGGTCAGACCATGGAACGCCAGATTCAAACAGGCAGTCAAAACCCTCTCTATCTAAACATCAGCACAGGATTGTTGCAAAGAAAAATGGGGAGAAACCATATGAACTGTCCTAACCTCCTTGGAGGAAGAGCAAGGTAGAAAATAAAATAAAATAAAATAAAAATAAAAAAAATAATAAAATAAAAATTTCAAGATGATAAACGCCTTAGTAACATTTGCTTCAGAAAAAAAAAATGTACTAACCTTTTACAGTACAAATGGAATTGACTTGGGTTGCAGAATCCAGCTTATCTAGTTGAACAGGCCCAGTCAGTTCAGTGATGTCAGTACTAGCAGCACGACACAAAAGGGGCTTTTGTAATGAGAGAACTGTACGTTCAATGCAAATAATCCTACCTGCCAACAAAGACATTTTGATAAGTTACAGTAACAAGGAAAAAGGTAACCATGTTAATTGTCTGGGCCAATAAATACAAAATTCCCAACCAGCCTTTTGTTAAAGTCGATTTAGTCTGATTTATTCAAACGCTGTATATGAAGCACATGCCAAAACAACTTAATGTGTCAAATACTTAGAAGGGAGAACCTCTATATTAGTCTTTGACACTTTGCATAATTTCTTTCTCAATATGTTTATATAAATAAATAAATTTGGAGCTTTTGTGTTGTTTTTATGCACCAAGCTATTCTAAGGCTAGACATGCTACATTTTGCTCCCCAAAGGAGGATAGCAAAGTGTCCCGTGGGTGGTGTCATGTATCTGGAAGCAAGACAAGAAACTTTTATAAGTAGGTCAATGGCTCAAATGTTGTAGAGGGTCACAATGACCAAAGGCCACTATCAACTAGTGATTAACCTACAGTGAGCTTCATTCCTACAATCTAATGCTAAGTCATTCAAGTATATACATGCATGACAACATTATGCTGGTTGCAGAAAGGCAGTATCTTCCCTAAAATAAAGACAATATTTCCCCTAAAATGTTCACAGATTTTAGCTATTACATTTATGACAGTGTACTAGTAAATCTGCAAGAACCGAGTTAAATTCTACACACGCACACATCCCCCTCCTCTAGCTGTGGTAGACAGGAAATCTTTTCCAATGTATCTTTCTCTCCACTGTCTTTCTATTAACATGGATGTATGCTAAATGGATTACTTTGTACATAACACTGTGTGCTCAACAACAATATAGCACTGCTGCTAACTATTCAATTAAGCTTCCATTGGGCTACAGCAGAGGGAGAGATGGGAAGGCTACTTCATCAGCTTTGCTGAAACACCAGCTCCATTTGGTTTCCATTCCAGTTAGTTATTATAAGAACTTCATAACTCTAAGAATTGGTATCCAAATTTGTTTATTTTCCAATTCTATTTTTACCACTTTTTCCTTTTATATCATTTGTTTTCAATTATAGGCCTGCTGGCATGTGCTGCCTTGCTTTAATGGTGTCCTGCAAGCTCAACTCTCTACTCTTAATGAAACTTTGCCCATGATGGAGGCATATGCCCAAGACACAGAGGTGCATTCCTATCTTAATATGAGAAGAATAATACTAGAAGGACTGATATTCACACATTTTGGAAAATGGTGGATGTTGGGCAAAGCACCCAAAAGCAATCCAAAGGACCCATCCTTTCAGAAATACACACAGGTCACCTTTCCTCCTAATGTTATTTTTCCCATTTCCCTGAATTCGTGTGAATTCAGACATGTGTCTTAAGTATATAGTATAATCCCTGAACTATCTTCCAGTCTGCAAATATCTTCTTATGACAAAGGCAGGTTGCTGTGTTTTTCCACTGCTATCACTGATAGCCCCCAGAGCTATACCTCTTTTGTTTCATAAACCTAACAGGAAGAATAAGAATATTGGTTATTTCAAAGCCGTTTGCACTAAGTCCATTATACTTCAGCTTGGTTTGCAACTTAGACATTCATCAGGTTAGAAATTGCACAGCTAATATGGAAGCTTATAGTTTTTATCAAAGTTCATTTATCTCTACTTGCTCTAGTACTTACCATTGCCACATAGAGCATCCTTGAAAAAAATAACACAGGGGGATGTGCTCTTGAGTGCCTCCATTACTTCTACATCAATCACAAGTGATGAAGTAACTAAAACTGGCAGAGTTTTTGGAGTTTCAGGATTGCCCTCAACCCAGCTCTGCAAGGAGAAATCAGTCACAAAGAGGCAAAATTGCCTTTGGCTTGAAAGAGTGGTACCTGTTTCCTAGGGTTTGAAAGGAAAAGAACAATACATACAAGTAATACAGGACAATTAAAGAAAATATTCTTTTCTTCTCCATAATTACATTAGAGGCTGGTATAATTCCCAGAAACATTTAAACTTTTAGTTCAGTGAGCTGACTTTTATATCATTCCAGCACTAATATATGCACTGGAACAACAACAGTTATTGCCACTGCTGCCCTCAAAACAGCCCCTATGCTTGGATTGAATGTTAGAAAGAAAGCAAATAGATGGTAACAAAAAAGGCAAATGTTACCAACTGCATAATGTACCACATCAAAAGCTATTATTCAACCTGGAACAAGCAAATTCAACATCAAGTGGGGCAACGCTGCATGGCTACACATGGACATCTTAAGATTACCTTGTAACTACTGTAAGATGAAATGGTAAAAATGATATAGACAGGAAAAAATACTATTTCATCTCTCCATAAGTGCTTTCAAACATGTTAGCATTTCTCAGCTAATCAGTTTTAAAAGTTGTCCTCATATGTGGATGTCTGATGATGACTTTGACCTAATTCAAAGTGAAATATACATGTTTCTATTTTGCTTTCTAAATAAGGAACACACCAGAAGCATTATGACTTGGCTGTGCAAGGTGACCCCACTCCCTTGTAGAAACTGCTGTAGCTAAGAATATGCACGTATTCCTTCTGGATAAAAGTTAACATTTTTCAAGGATGCATATAAACACAGTGATTCATAAAAGGTAATGGGAAAAAGAAATACTTCTTATATTAGCAATATAAATATTTTGCTTGGAACAGGGAGAAAAATATTCCACAAAAGGTAAAAGATGTAGAAACAAATAGAAGCACATACCTTTTGTGTTTGAACTTATATTAGAAAAGGTTCTAACTCAATTAGTAAACCACCCAGAGAGCTGTGTTGGGCATACGGGCAGTACATAAATTAAATAAACAAATTATTATATTAGAAACCTATTCTTGCAATGCAAATATTAGTAATTCAGAAGGATAGTTAAAAATCAATTTAGATTTTTGAAATGATCAGTTTTTACAACTTTGCCATGGTTTTTCCTAAAATTCCAAAGATCCAACTGATTATAAAGTGAGTGCCACTGAGTCTGGTAGGGTTTAAGAGCATAAGCTTTAGTGACCATATACATGTATTATTTTTAAAGGACAACTTTTGTTGCAGCAGACTAATGTGGCCATTCTACCCTTCTAGAATCTTCATTCTTATGGCTTCATTAAGATACCAACACTTAAATGTTGTGCCTTTAAAAAAGCTATTCACTGATCTATATGAATAACCCTATAACAGAGAGTTTGTAAATATCAGTGATATTTAGCCAGTGATAGCAGCTAAATCCATAGCCATTTATTATATTTTAAATCTAAGCGTGCTCATTTCGAGTTTTCATAGCTGACACCCAGAACATTTTCTGTAAGTACAAATTTTTAAAAGTTAATTGAAAAAGTGATGCTTAGTCCTTTTTAAGTACCAGATAGTAGAAATGCTAAAATTTTTTAACTACAACCTTTAGAATCTGACCAATGGAACTGCTGGTCAAAGAGTATGCAATAATAAGTCATTTAAAAACCATTATCTTCCTATGTTGTGTCAATCTGTTCTGAACAAAAAGGGCAGAACACACAAACAGCAGCAGGATTGAGTTATGCACCATTACAGTTCCCCCAAGCACAGCTGGAACATATTTCCTCATTTTCCTTCCGCACCATGATACTTATTTTGAATAGTAATAAAAAGCTGTATTTCCATTCCCCAATTCACATAAATAAAAAGCTTTGGAATTCTAGTTCAAGTAGCTATGGAACAACAGTAGTGATTTAACAAACAAACAATACATATTTTGAAGCAGAAAATATAGACTATTTACACAGTTTTTCTCACTCTGTGCTGAACTAATTAGTCTGCAAAACAAATCTAACCTGGACCAAGGTCTTCCACTTCATATTTTATGATGCATCAGACTTGTGCTAAGGACAAATCATTATTGGCAAAGACTGAAGCAGTAAACAAATTCCAGCCCTGACATTTTATTTCTGGAATGGATAGAGTAAGTATTTGTATCCTCATATCTACCCAATCTTATTCTTTCTGTTCTTTTGTAGTACTTTTTAAAAATCATTCTTGCAGATTTAAAGATTCAAAACTACTGTTTCATTTGGTGTAAAAATTTTAAAGGCTCTTTCCAAAATGGATGAATGAGTAAGAAAATAGCATTTAATCTCATTTTTATTGGTAATGAGCAGAGGGAACCCTATGGATATAATGTACCTAGACCTTAGCAAAACTTTCAACGTAGTGTCCCACGATATTCTGATAAACGAATTAGCAAAAAGTGGACTAGATTAAAAAAAAAACTATTACATGGATCCAAAATTAGCTGCTAAATCGGACACAAAGCATGCTCATCAATAGCACCTTCTCAAACCGGAGGAAGGTAACTAGTGGGGTGCTGCAGGGTTCAGTCTTGGGCTCAGTGCTCTTCAACATTTTTATTAATGGTTTGGATGTGGAAGTACAAGGAAGGATAATAAAATACAGTGGTACCTCAGCTCACGAATGCCTCAGTTCACAACCAAATCAGGTCACAAAAATTTCATAAACATTTTGACTTAGGTTGCGAACTCCGCATTGGGTGGTGGCCGCAATTGTGGCCATTTCCCACCCCCCCTGAGCGGGGAGATAGCTGCAATCGTGCTGGGGGCGGGGGGAGATGGCCGAGATCACGCTCATCTTTCCTGCAGGAGTGCTCCTGTGATCTTGGCCATCTCCCCCCTCCAGCACGATCGTGCCTGTCTCCCCCCACCCAGCATGCCCGCGATTGTGCCTGTCTCTCCCCCTCCAGCATGCATGCTGGGGGGGCAGGGAGATGGCTGCGCTCGTGCTTGGGGTGGGGAGTGGAGATCGCCGCGATCTTTGTTGTTCTTTGTCACTTTGCTTTACATTTTTCTGATAAAAAAAATGGGTACAGAATGGATTAACCTTATTTACACTGAATCTTATGGGGAAATTTAACTAGGCTCACAACCAATTTGGGTCACAACCAGAGTCCTGGAATGGATTCAGTTCATGAGCCAAGATACCACTGTATGCAAACTATACAAAACTAGATGGAATAGCAAACACCCTAGAAGGCAGAGTAAAGATCTAAGGTGAGCATGATAAACTTGAACACTGCACTGAAAGCAACAGAATGAGATTCAATAGGAACAAGTGCCAAGCCCTCCACCTAGGAAAAAGAAAACAAATGCATTGATACAAGATGGAGAATACGTGGCTCAACAGAACTGAAAAAAGTAGAAGCCCTCAAGTAATTGTGGACAACAGGCCAAATATAAGCCAACAATGTGATGCAGATTCAGCCGCCAAAACAGCAAATGCTATTTTAGGATGCATTAATCAAAGCATTACTTCCCAATCATGAGAAGTAGTAGTTCCCCTATATTCCTCACTAGTCAGACCACATCTGGAATACTGTGTCCAGTTCTGAGCACCAAGATTTAGGAAAGATGCAGGATTGCAATTATTATTATTAATGCCTATCAATGCACCTATTCTTAGTGCTATCAATGTGTGGAGTCTGCTGCTATACTGTAGAGAAATTAATTCTTTTTCAAATGAATTTATAATAGGTACAAATCTACTGCTATAATATAACAAAGCATTCAATGTTAGTCCTTCTTGGAGCAGTTTTACTGAAATGAATGGGACTTAGAGAATACATACCAGTGGGAAGAAGATTGCTGTATGGAATATTTAGGATCAAAATTAATACTTCGCCAGTCAGCCATAAAAAAATGTTCTATATGGAACTGCTAAAATCTAACATACCCACAGCTTTACATAAGAATATTGGACCTACGCAGTTAAATGAGAATATAATCACACCTGTGATGCTCTTGGGAACAATGTTATACCATCACCATCCATGATTTCATGGAGCAGTCTGTGGGAAGAGTACTGATGGAGCATGCTTGAAGCAGTGGCAGAAAAAAAATTGAATAAAAGAAGAAAAACTTTTGCCACCTCACATGTATTACTCCATTTTAAGCAATTCTAAGAAAGGTCTTAGAATTCTGCCCTCTCCTCAAATACTGAGGGAGGGGGGCATTTTATTTTTCCCACCACAGAATGCTCTCAAAACCTGGACTGAATACTTTGAACCAGCATTATTAACTAGAGTCTTCCTCCTGAAAGTGCCTCAGATCAAGCAACTTTGAAACATCCTTCTTACGGAATGAAACAAAATAGCCACTGTCCAAGTCCCAATTCAGAATATTTAACTTTATCTGGATTATGCCAGTAGTCTCTAGATATGAGATTCATCACATCAGCTAATATTCATAGCCCCCTTCTTTACCAACAATCCTAGCTCTTAATCAGAGTTCTCAGTATATCTGTTCATTTATCAAAACTTGCAAACATATGCAAGCTCTATTTCTTCCATTTACCCATGGAAATGAAAATACAATTTCTGTCAAATACAAGTCAGGATCTTTGAAAGTCTGCTCATCTTCCATCTCTACAATCCTACGTTTACCACCATGTACATACTTTCAGCCAAAATTTAAATTGCTGTGGTAGATCCAGGCATTCGCTCTCCTCCTCCTCAGGTAGGCCAAATCAATAAAGCAGCATCATGTCATATGAAATTGTGCTCTAGATATTCCTACTATCATTTAATTTTGCAACTCCTATGATTTGGAAAAATCTACTCCTTCCAGCAGCTGTATGCTTCCTCTCTGGGCCATAAACATATTTAGCAACTTGAGAAACTGTCCTGGCCACCAGCATAAAGTGGGAGGCATTGCAAAGGACAAATAACCTGCTCAGAAGACTGAGTATAAGGCAGCAGCAGAGTATGAGTCTCAACAAATTAAACGATTCTTTTGAACCCAAAGTTTTCAATTTCATATCAATCCCGCAGGCCAGTAAGAAAATAGATTGATTAAAAAACATGTTAGAGGGCAGGGCACCTTGGCATATGCCAAGAACGGTTCACAAAGTCCATGGGCAACACACTGATTATCCCTGCTTTGAATCCTTCTCTCCAGAATGAGTATTACTGTCTGTTATTAAATTGTGCCAGTAAACCAGTTGTTCCAAACACTTTGAATTTCTGATTTCTCACATACATTACACTTTTGAGAAAGTAAGCAAGAAAGGTGAAGGTGACTCAGCTGAACCCTTTAGTCAATCTGGAACAGCACAAGAGAAGAATTTCTGCTTAGGGATCTGTGGCTCTTAGGTATTTCTGAAAAAAATGTATCCCTTGTCATGACACCAAGAGAGACAGAATCCTTCAGCTTAAGGAAGGAAAGCAATCTAGAAAGAGGAATGGGGGTGGGGGGAGGCTTGTCTGACAAAATAAGATCTGTAAAAGCAACCAACAGAAATTTACCTGCAATCGTTGATATACAACATATGCCCAGAAGCTGCAGCACCAATGTAAATTGCACATCTGAAATACAGTTAAAAGTGGTCTAAATATTTAATTTTGCACATGGTAATATGCTAACAGATATGCATGTTATAAAATATACAACAACAATACCTGAATAATTTCCTTGAGATTGTACACAGCTGGGGGGAAATACAAATCTGATATTGGTTCTTCCTCGTCTACATCAGTGAGCCTTTGATCAGAATGGGCAGCAAGAATGTAACAGAAACTAGGAGGGGGTAGATGATCTGTAACCTGCTGGAAATAAAGTAATCAAAATAGGTGTAGTCATAAAAAGAATATTCTATGGTAAACTTCATTTTTTAGTTGAGTAGAGTAGTAAGAACTTTATCAAAACTAATGGAAAGAACATGTTTAGGAAATAAAAATCTTCTTTTTAAGGCATAGTTGGTAGTAGCAGCTGTGTCTCCAAAAGTTATAGCATGACCCAATCTTTCTGGCACAATCAGGAATAATTTCACTTATACCTTCCAATGTAGTAACACCCATGAATCTATATTGCACAAAACACAATCAAGCACAATCAAGATATCAAGAAAGCTGTTTTTGATATGGAAATCACAGTCAAAATGGATTCTATTATTTTCATGTCTTCAAATAATTCTGATGACATTTGAGAGTGTTAGCACATGGGTGAATTTGACAATAAACAGATGAGGCTGCATCACTGAGAAGCATGAATGCTGCCAAATTAAATCTTTAGCTGCAAGAGGATATTAGGGAACATGAATACTGGAACATGAAGCAACTTGACTCCCTATCCCTCTCTTCCTGTTATGATGAGAACAAATATTTTATTTAAAGATAATATTCACTATCTGAAAGGCTATAAAACTATAGGGTTTAGTTTTTATAGGAATGATACGTTAATCATCTTCAGAGTTATTACTTGAAGTTATGAAAATCATAAAGAAACTATGAATAATGCAAACAGTTTTTCTGTTATATTTTCCAGTTAAAGACATAGTAGAAATCCCAAATTAGATTCCTTTTCAATGATTTTATCATAAATGTTGTTTTTTATGGATCAAAGAAATCATCACAAATTCTACAATAATTAACTTGTTTTAATTTTAATTTAGATATAAAAGAAAGTGCATTGCACAGACATATTTGTGTTAATGTGGGCCTTAAAAAATTCCATTTAATTCTGCTTCACAAACAGCCAAAGAAGCAAAGTGGCAAAAACTGTGAGCTATGATGTAGGAAGACTCTGATTCAAATCTTGCTTCAGCTTCATCATGTAGCTTTACTGATCTCCCTTCCCAACAGTGTAATCCCACCTCAAATATTTTCCCTCCCCTATTGCACCAAGGCTTTTAAAAAGCTGGCATGGTTCTAATGCCAGACTTTTAAAAAGGGCCATGGGGAAGATCCCCTGGGGAGGAAAATGGTAATTCCTCTGCCAAATAGTGCCACCCTTCTCCTTCTCTGATGCCAGTGGGGGAACTTTTCAGGACTAATTGCAAGTGGATAGTCAAGCTGCAGGGCAGTATCTCAGCAGCCTGCTTGCCCAGAAACAATTCACCCCTCAGGCCAAAACTGGTTCTCCATTGCTCCCTTAAACAAACCAGTGTTCTCTCAGCTTCATTCCTCTTTCCTCATCTAAACAAGAGAGAATAGTAACAATGCTCTAATTTTTGGAGAAAAGCTAAGTGAAATGCACTAAATACTAAATCTTAGGTCTCACAAAAATGTAAACAAAAAAAAAAAATAAATGGAAGTTCCACCTTTAGAAAGTGTGATTAAGAATCATTAAGGAAATTACAAACAAAAGAAAAGAACAAGTAAACTTACTCTATGACCTATGCTCCATATATACCTCCACACATTCCATTGTAAATTGCTGTAAAATACCTAATGAATCCACCTATTATTTTGAGATTTATGTAAATAGAGGGGTGGAGCATCATAATCTGCTAGTAAATTTCCTGTTCACTCTAGTAAAGTGTTCAGTAGTGTTCCTCTTAGAATGAGAATAGATAGGGATACCCAGGGATGCCTCCTTATCTTCTACTCTACTCCTCCAGGAATGAAAGCAATCCTGGTAAACAGATTACCTTACTTCAATCAGAAAGAAGAGAACATTTCTGGCAGCCATACAGCAGTCTGCTTCCTCAATAGGGTATACATGAGCACTTTCATCCTGTAGCACATGTTGCTCCTCTGTGTCCCCAGTCATTCATTTTTACAGACTTTTCTACAGAACACACCTTTTGTTCAATATCTGAAACAATCAATTTCTTTGATTTTAAAGAAAGCTATCAACTTTTATGTTGCGAAGGAAGGAAGGAAGGAAGGAAGGAAGGAAGGAAGGAAGGAAGGAAGGAAGGGCATCTCTCATCTCTGAATATAACTGACTGTTCTATGTTAAAACATGACAAAGAATTGCAACTTAAATTATAATTATACAAGGAAAGCTTTTTATTTATTACTTATTAGCTATCTCGGTGGTCTCACTATTTTCACAACTAACAGTGTACTTTATATAAGGAAGCAAGAGCAGTTGTCTAGCAGAAATGTAATCTACTTTGCAAACTTCCTGACTCAGGATTATATATGATTGTAATAAAATATGCACCTACCTAGTCAAGGTTATACTGGCAGTTCTTCCATTTCTGCCCCAATAGTTAACTTACTAACATTGCCAAGCAGTAGACAGCATCCTACTTTACAGGTTTTTTGCTCCTCTTTTCCACTACACTGGACCATGCCTTGGTTTGCACAGCACTGCTGTTACAAGCCACATGCAGGCAGAATCCCAGGGAAACAACAGGGTAGAAAAGAGGAAAGGTAAAACTGTAGGGCTTTCCATCAACTAAAGGAGCAGCTCAGTCAGATTCTTGTTTTCCCTCAACTGTTTCCATTCAAGCTGGTCATGATTAGATTGTATAAATTTAAGAACTGTTTATTCTCCTCCTTCCCACATTATCTCCTTTCTGCCATGCATTTCGATAGTAAGCCAATGGTAGGGAATACTTGTTTATTACTGATTCCATGTCTGAAAAGTTGGGTAAAATTTTAAATAATAACAATACCCAAATTACTACGTAACTGAAAAATTAGATTGAGTGACAACTGAGAGCCAGTATGACTAGACTAAAGACCTGGGGGATCTGGGTTCTAGTCCTCTGTCAGCCATGAAGCTCACTGGGTAACTTTGGGCCAGTCACACCTACTTCACAGGGTTGTTGTTGTGAGAATAAAATAGAGCTATGTAAGCCACCTTGGGTTCCTCCCCAAGTGGAAAAATGGCAGGATATAAATGCAATGTAATAATAATTCCATTCAGTTATTAAATATTTATGGACATGCATAGGCAGCTTTAATAATTCCAAGTGTTCCCGAACAGCTGTACTATTGAAGAGTGATCTGTTAATCTAATTCAGTAAAACAAAGCTTATACATGTTTAGACATGGTTTGAAAAATCTTCATTCCACAAGCCCTTGTTGGATACATTGGTTTTCTCTCTTTTCTTCAATCAACCACAGTTTTAACTGTTATGTATTGGAATGTAATTTTATTGTCGTTTTCGTCTTCTATTTGAATGTGGCCTAGGAAGAATTTGTTCTAAAATATGAACAATAGGTAATAAAATGCAGTATAACATCAGAATCATGTGAATCAGCAAGATATATCGATGTTCATTGCAAGTATAATTCTGGGTTTGTCAAGTTCCCTGTGGCAATTCATCATGGACCCTACAAAACATTCCTATGGTAGCATTATAATCTCTACAGGTCAGAACATCATTAGATGAAGAACTAACTCTTAGCATTTCAAAAAGAAGCTCTTATCTCAGAAGCAGTAAGGGTCAAAATAGCCTAGTTGGAGCCTGATACACAGACAGACATTTTAAATTTGATTAGCAATTTCTTTGGAGAATCATAAGAGCCTTTTTTCTTGAATTCATGAGATAACAAGAGGATTCTCCTGGGTGAGCAGCAGCTATTAACCAAACAGTGTTTGCAGGAGCTCCTGCAATTGCAGACTAAGAATACTATTTTCCTACTTCCTTATGGGGAGTGGGAATCAGAAACAGTCAGTTGTGCATTCATCAGGTGCTTGTGGGAGCTCCTGCTGAGGGAAGACAACAGAACCTTCAAGATTTATTTAGAGGAAGTAGGAGGGTGCATAAATACATCACTGTTTTATAAATAATGCTTATTTGGAGAAAAGAGAGATTTGAAGATATAACTTACCATTTCATTCTCTTGACTTTGACCAGGAACTTTAACAGGCAATACTGGAGGCCATAAACTGTCTACTAGGCTAAAAAGCCCCAGTGCTCTTTGAAACAAAAACAAGGAAACAAAATAAAAACCTGGTAAAATACAGAATGCTGTATTCGAAGTTTAACCATTTGAAATAATACTTAAATAATATTTAAAGCAAATTCATGTCATATTTGCTCATTACATTTTAGATTTAGCCTCCCTCCTTGGTAGTACAACCTTATGGGCTTCAAACAGAATGAAAATATAGCAGGATGACAGCTAAGCCCTATGGCTCAGTTATCAGGGGCAGAAAAAATGATAAGTTATGTAACAAGAAGACAGGAGAGACGAAAGATCAGACAGACAGGGCAATTTCATGAAAACATTATAAAGCCACTGTGGTATAATGGTTACAAGTGTGAGAATGGGACTTGGGCAATCTGGATTCTAGTCTACACACAGCCATCATCCTCACTGGGCCAGTCACAGACTCTCAGCCCAACAGACCTCACAGGATTGTTGTTATGAGAAGACTGAGAGGAAGAAGAGGGTTATGTAAGCTGGAGTTCCTTGGAAGGGCAAAAGTCAGGATATAAATATTATCATTATATTAAAAAGGATAATAATTAAGTGATGATTTCCTCCTGACAAAACAAGAGCTGATGAGGACGTTTTAGACTTCCATTCAGTACAAGTTATAAAGTAGAATTATCAGTTGGGGAGCAGCAGAGGAGCTCCTCTAGCAGACCAGATGCTTCTTATCCATGAACTACAAAATAAATGTAGTTTATTTATTTAATAAAATAAACTGCTGCATCTGTAATGCTAATGAACTTTCAGCTCATCATCAATGCACAGCAAATTAAACTTGAGTTAATTAAACAGGGTTTAGATGCTTTCTGTGGCTTTTATTTTTTGCAACACGTGCCCAAAGGCAAATTTTAATTTTGTGATAGCTTCTATCGGCCTCTGCTCCATTGGCCTCTACTCCATGGAAGACAATGTATTGCAAGCTGTGGTGTGTGTGTGTAAAAAAATAAAGAGATGGATAGGAAACAACATCTCTACTTCTTTTCCTACACAGAATGACAAAGACAGCAAAATGAATGCAGAAAAAATTTACATAAAATTCAGCACTTTGCCCTCTTTTCCTCATTTTATTACAGTCACTCATTAGTCACCAATGGTTAAATGGCTGTAAAGTATTCAGGTTAAGGTAATTGAGCTCAAGGAAGGCTGGTAATTGTGTATGAGTAAGCACAATAACATGAAAGGATATCAGGAAGCAAAGATACTGCCTCACATATTGTTAATCCAGTTGATTTAGTAATGATGCCATTATCATCATGCTCTCTCCAAAACAGAAGAACCAGAAAATGTACACAGAAGAGCAATAAAAACAGTCAGAGATATGGAATGCCTTTATTAGAAGGAAAAGCCAAGAAAACTTCAGTTTCAGGCCAGGTCACAATGCCAGTTCTCTCATGCAACCAAATATGTGACAATACAATCTCATGGAGAAAGGGCAGAACAATCTGAGCTGTACATGAATTCTTCTAGAAACAGGATCCTCATTTGTTCACAAACTTCAGCATAAGACCCATGCATACTTGTTTTGTTTAAGACCCAGGAAAACCAGCGTGAGACCCATGCATACCTGCTTAAACCATGTATATCTGTTTTGCTTCTTTTTAATTTAACGTGCAAAGGAGAGTAAAGAGTTCCTATATTTTTTAACAGTATACAGAAGAGGGAATTCTAGGAAGACCAGCTTTCCATGCCAGGATGAAAAACCCATGCCTACCCAAACCTATTTGCATCTGTTCAATCTTGCTTCTGCTCTCATCCCTTTCAAAATTAACCAAAACAAAATAATTATAGTATCACTGGTTTGTCTAGTTTGGAAGTCTTGATCCATATGCTGAAGACTCATGGTTTTAGAACATTCCCCTTGCATGATTCATTGCAAAGTATAAAAAGCAGGAGATAATGGAAAAGTTCAGATAATTTATCATCTATATATAAAAATAGTACTAAACAACAAGACAATTAGTACATTAGATTGACATATTTCCCATTCATTTAAATGTGCTGTATTTTCTAGATGCTATAAAAAGGAGGAAGAACACTTGCAGGTAACTTTTTAAAAAACTTGTCCCAAAGTGATTCACCACTCTCAAACTAAAGTTTTAACTGTCCTCCCACATATTGCTACTGAACAGTTTAGAACCATAGTGATCAATCCTTTTGGTAAAAGATTCACAAAGGGGTCTAGACCAGGGGTCAGCAACCCGCGGCTCCGGAGCCACATGTGGCTCTTTCATCCCTCTGCTGCTGCGGCTCTCTGTCACTAAAAATATGCATCACAACCGCCAATGTGCGGCACCCACCAGCACGTGATTCATTGAGCTTTTCGACCACTGGTAGGCCAACCATGGATAAATCCAAGAAAAGAAAAGTTTCAAAAGAAAACAGAACGTTTAATGGTACATGGGCAGATTCATCTGCTTCCACTGCTGACGAGACTGGTTTATTAGTATGCCTAATATGTTTTTGTTGCATGCAGAAATAAAAAATTGTTTTCTCTGTAGCAGTTCACTGATTTTATAAATGCAACACACTATAATTTTTTATACATAGCATAAAGGTAAAAAAGAATATATGCAGTGTTATCTTCATTTTAGATGTCAAAAGGGTTTTGTGGCTCTCGGTGTTTTCTTTTCTGTGGGAAAAAGGTCCTAATGACTGAGTGTTTAAGGTTGCTGACCCTTGGACTAGACAGAATGACACACTAGCAAGTGCCCCCCAAGTTCTTTGAATGATTCCAGTCAAGACTTTTATTGTGCAGTCACCCTGTTTCATTCATGGAATTTCACAGGGGATTACATATCGTGTTCCTCCACTTGTAACCCTCCTGTGTTTCCCTAGCACTTGTTGTGTTTTTGTTCTTGCCACAAGGAAGGTTAATCAAGGGAAGACAAAATAGGCACCCAGTACCTTCTGATATGTAGTGCCCAGCAGCACAGACAATATACATGCAACTAAGCATCTTATGACACTTGAAAGACCGACACCTAATAAATATGCTAGTCTTTAACATGCTACAAGAGTCTACCTCAATAGATTAAGAAACATCCTCCGGAGAATATTATTATATTGTATTAATATTACCTTCCCCTGGTGATTCTCCGCAATATTTTCATTCCAGGTAAGCGGCAATGTTTTCCTTCCCATTTTTTAATATATTTTTCTATTGGTTCAGAGGAAGAAAGTAGGACTTGAAACTGTATTTCACCAAATATTCCATAGGTATCCTGAACAAGGAAACACAATCTGTAAAACAGATTTGTAAAATTCATTCCATTAGTGGCACATGTACAAGGGTTGTCAAACATCTTGGAATTAAAGATTTCTTCACAGGGCAGAAATCTATTCCCCACCCTTCAAATTTTAAGGCTTATTAAATTGTGATGAAAACTGAATTTATACTCATTGTTAACCAACTGCTTTGTTATATAGTTTAGTGCAGGAGCAGGAAACTTCCTGCAGCCCAAGGGCCAAACACAAACTCAGAGAAATTCTTGGGGAGTATATTCCAGTGGTGGGTGGGGCTGAAGGCAAAGGAGATGGGACCAAAGGCAAAATGGATGCAGACAAAATAACATATCACACCATATGATTAAGCCATACAAGAGGGAATTCAACCTTTCAAAAAGGGGAAATTACTGCACAAAACCCACCGAATGCTTAGTGGCTGGGGGTAAGGGTATATAGGCGTGTGGCTATCTGGGAACCCAGAAGGGCAAGATTGGGACCCTAAGAAAACCAAATCCTGAGATTTCCCACCAGTGGTTTAAAGGATCCTGTTTAAAGGTAGCGCCAGTATTAAAGACCACCTCTGCCTGAGACCATAGAGAGCTGCTGCCAGTCAAAGTAGACAATATTGAACTATACGGACTAATGTCTCAGCTCTACATACATACATATTGAGAATGTATAAAAAGAAATTTCACACTGCAATTTGAATTATGATTGTGTGTGCATGCATTTGCACACTTCTGATCTCTGTAGTTCCTTTTACTCTAGCAACTTACCTGTAGTATTATGCTGAATTAAGTTCAAGCCCTCTTTCCCCGCCTACAGACTTCTGTGGTTTATTCTTACAATTTGTTCTACAGGAGTCTATACTATTGCTCAAGCACTGTGGAAAGTCAGTTGGGGCTTCAGCTGAGATGTCCTCACTATGCAGATGTTATCTTGCTCCTTTTTGTCAGAGTCAGGTAAATTCTGAACAGATGCCTAAGATCAGTACTGGCTTGGATATGGGCACATCAATTCAGGCTCAGTCCAGATAAAATGGAAATATTATTGGTAGCAAATCATCTGACTATAGTGCTATTTACCCTATTCTGAATGAGAGTGCACTTTCCTGATGGGGCAATGATACATTTCAGTGGCACTGTCTGATCTGGACTTCACTCTAAGTGTCCAGGTGGCATCCATGCAATAAGATGCCATTCACCAGTTGAGAGCAGTGTATCAACAGTAGCCTATTGTGGACTGAGATAGTCCAGCCACAGTTATCCAATGCTTGGTAACTTCTAGGTTAGATTACAGCAACAAGGTCAGCCGGCTCTGAGGATAAATTGATGAAAAATATAGCCACTAGAGATGGGTGAGAGAAATTAGCTGCATGACAGATACCTTGCTAGTGTTCAAATAGGTTTATTCCTTTCCTATTTTGTTATGAGGTAAGATTCAAATTGCTAGTTTTGTCCATTAACATTTTATATGGCTTGGCACCCAGGTATCTAAAAGACCACCTGAATAATTTTGCATTCAAAAGATGGGTGGGCAGTAACTAGGTAGAAGGTCTTCTCTGTGGTGTGATCCTAATTGTGGAACATTATACCTAGATATGTTTGTCTTTCAACTAGTTTGGTTATTGTGAGATGATAACTTCAAACTTCTTTATTTACAAACATTTAATTTTACTGTTCTTCCCAATCAATAGCATGTTCAGGAATATTAGCACATCACTTTTAGATCTGTAGTTTTGCTGCTTATAGAAGCTTATAATAATGTTTTATTCCTATTTTTTATAAGCCATTTTAGAGATTTTTTGGAAATTAATGGCTGAGTTAAGAATAAATAATAAGTTAATAAATAATGAATACATTAAGAATAATAAGTTAATAAATAAAATTTCCAAATTTGCACTTGTATTGTCTCTGGAGAAATCTGTAACACATCTATCATCCTTTTACAAAAAAAGAGCCTAAGTACCTCCTGTCAGCTGCACAGTCTTACATAATGAAGAAATCATTCCTATATGCAAGTTCCAGGTGAGAACCCTTCCCTTCTTTCTGCCTTCCTCAACCAGTTGTCTGCAGATTGATTGAGGAAAGCTGTCTGAACTATGAACAGCCATACAGAAACTGCTGCAATCAGAAATGGCATAAAACTGTAGTCAGACAGCTACCCAACATTGACTTTGCAGCAGTGAACTACAATTCTGAATGTTGATCTTGTTGAAAAAAGGGAGGTAACATTATTAAGCAAATCTGCCTTACCGAACCAGCTCTGCATCAACTGCAACTGCATCCCTACCTAACAGTCCCTATATTGTTTTCTTCAGCTATTTTTATTTTGCTGTTGTGTTAATATTGTGTTGTTTTTCAAACTGTATTTTTTGTCATGCAACCTATTTTGAACCTTCTCAGAAAAACAGTGAATAAAACAAACAAATATTGATCTCATCTTGATCCTACTTATTCCATCTTTTCTCCGAGTTCAGGATTATGCATTGCCTCTGTGTGAGACCAGGGAGTTGGCCAGTGAGGAGAAAAGCAAACATGACTCCCAGGACCAGGTAAGTGCCTTTCTCCATTCTGAGAAAGGCACAAATATCTCTGTCTCAGCAAAGCAGGAGGCTAACATGGGGGTGGGGATGGATGTGGCTGTGCCCCTGACCCCTTCCAGTCTGCAGAAGGCCTGGTAGGAAGCAATGCAGTCACGCACCTATTTCTAGCATTTTAGCTCTAAAGTTTTCTCCTCCATCACTTCAAAACAGTGTTTACAAATGCAGGTGCCTTGCAGCCAACAGCTGAAGTACAAGAGAGCAACTTTTTTTTCTGTAAAAAGGTAGGGTAGATATGTAAATAAATAAAAGCTGAACTGTGGTTAAAGTCAATTCATTAGTGGTTAGGAAAAAGGCTTCAGGGAAACGCTTGTAGGTCAACATCAAACCATGTGGAAATGCTTGGGGGAAAACTGATTTTACCCTCAGTTAATGCTACCAAGAAAAAAAAAGTACAGAAGGCTTTTAGGTGTGATTGCCACTGGAAAAGGCATGAAGAGGAATGTGTGAGAAGAGATGGACAAAATATGATTCAGTCACATATGATTCACTGGGAAGAGCAAAGAGGCAAAGTGCAATGAGAAAATAGGAAGAGATTAAGATTCTTTATTTCAGTCTTTCTGACAGTAGCCTGGTTCTTCTTGAAATGGTAAACTGTTCCTCAGGTATACGGCTGCAGGTAGGGACTTGAATAATTTAATGTTCCCACATAACAAAACAAAGCAAAGCAAAACAAAGCTCTTGAATCCCTACATATAGAAAACTGGCACATCAGTGAGAAGGTTAAATCAGACTCTTTTCTCAACAGCATCTTTCTGTGTGGAAGTAGTGTTATTTTTTATATGAAGGGGAATCATGTGAGTTGCCTGCCTGCAATCTGATGTGGGGCAGCCCAGGTGCAGGTTAGCTACTTCAGTGAGAACTAGGCCACAGTGAATTTCATTTCAGAGCTTGAGAATATTCTGTTAATTTCCTAAAAGAGCTGGAGGCAGGGGAGAGGGAAGGCGAGGCCAATTACTTTGCATTGTTTTTATGATTGTGGTGGTAATGCTTACATTTATTTCCCATTGAATATTTGGAAATGATTATGATATTATGCTACCCCCTCCTAATTAGTCATGCTTCTTGGGAAAGGTGGAAAATAGATTTTAAATTTGGTAAGAAAATAGGTATATAAACCTCATAATATGGTTGGTATTCCCTTTGTCACTCTAAAGGAGGAGGGCTGAATGGTATTCCTCTTGACTGGTACAGCTTACGCATGGCCTTGTGATGATACCAACTGCATCACAGAACAGCACCATGTTCTAAAGGCAAAACAAGGGGGTCATAACTTCTCTTGCAGAAAGAAATGACAAAGACAGTAAGTACACAGTGCAATACAATCTGTTTTCTAAAGCAATACAAACAATTGCTCAGGCTTCAGTGTCCAGCCAATGTGCCTGATATTAGTGGCAATATTTACTCATGCAAGATAGGGTGGTGCTAGTTATGCCTGTTTCCAGAGATGAAACTATCTGTGTATGTGTAAATCCAGCAGCAACCAAAAAACGAGGAGGTGCATGCACCCATAATAGGACTTCTGTGCTCCATTCTCTTAGTCAAAACAGGCACAAAACTGTGCATACAGAGTTCCAATTCAACAACTTGTCTGGTCAAGTCTTAAGGTGGAGCTCCTTAACGTCTACTACTGTGGCTTGGAATCAAACAGCAACCTTTGAGACACCACCCAAGCCGGATTTAATCTCTCAAAGGCAAACAAAAGCCCTCCACCCATTACACGTGTTATCTCTAGTGCAATCAGAATCAGGGAGAAAAATGTGCAGATGCAGAAAGACACAAAAATCAGCCTATTTTCTTTTGAGCCTGCATGGGTTCTTTGAAGAAAGGAACCATATTTGACTAGCCTAAAGAGCTCCTCCAGGCCATTTTTATCACATTCCATGTAGTAGTTTTTTTTTTAATTCCCCCCATTTTTTTGACAAAAAAAATAATAATTACAATACATGTGTTCCATGTAGTAGTGAGGAGGATACCAAAAATATAAAAGCAGCAACAACTAGAACATGAACAATATTTGCAAATTAACCTGAAAAGACTTCCTTCTTTTTCTGGTCAGCTACTGAAAACAGAAATGGTCTTTTTACTTTGATTAAATCAGTGTTCTCCATGCTCGGGGGGGGGGGGGCTATTCCAGTTACAGTATAAACAAGTTGTTATTGCTAACTATTTTATTCAACTTCAAACAGGATTGCCCTGTCCTCTGTGGAACAGTACTCCATGAGGCAAGTAGAAACATGGTTGGTACCAATGTCTTTGTTATGACTTCTCTTTTCCATATCATTTTACTTTCATGCTGCATTACCTGACTACATTTATCCATTCATTTTCCTGTAAAAGCCTAAATGCATAGCCACCATTTTTTTTTATCAAATAAATGTGTTATACTTAAAAAGTAGTTTGCATGGACAAG